TCAAAAATTCTAAATCTGTTTGGCTTCCAAAGGTGCAAGAACAAAATTTTTTCTTCAAGGTATCACATTTTATTTTAATTATTGGTGTAGATATCTGAACCTCTGAAATGCCATAGCACTCTGCTACATAAATCAAGAATAATACTGCGACAGTCACAGGCTGGGGGATACTATAACCAAAACTGTGTCTGACACTGCTTTGTCACATGGTTTTAAAGGAATGCCCTTTCCTGTGCAGTTGCCCTGACAGAATTAGAATTCAACAAGAAGTTTCCAGGAAAATTTTTAAGCCTAACAGGGAGGTTGCATCTTCACCTCCACAAGCTACTTCAAAAAGTTCTCTCTGCAAAATGGTTGCAGCCATGCACTATGCTGGAAAAAAGACTTACATTCCATGGCTGTTTCCTCATTCTAGCTCAATTTCCTCATTCCCAGCCATGGGAATTGCAGCCTCACAGGGCTGCAAATGTACTCCAAATGGGCCAGGAAAAAAAAAAAAAAACTGAAAAAGACATTTGCTGGTTTGATTAATGAATGTGCTTGGAATCTGCAGTAATTTGAATAGCAAGATAACCTGACTAAAAATTCCTAACTGTGGCTGTTATAAACATACACAAAACATTGGCCTGCTAGCAGCACATCATTAATGGTGGCATTGCTAACCCTGCCCTCGGTTTCTTTCTGTCATCAAGGAAGTTCTCTGAGTAAAGGAGAGCACTGGTGTTATTTCCCTGGATACAGCTGTAGAAAGATCTAACTCACTAAAGCTTGGCTTTTTACCCAACTCAATAAGTGAAATCAACAGCAAAATGCACAGGGCACCAAGAAGCTGCCCTGAGTGGGAGGGACCATCTCTATAACTTCTGCCTTAGGGATAATTTCATATTTCAGGCAGCAGCTTATAACCATCCTTCCCTGAAATTAGAGGTAAGAGTGTAAAATCTTTTTTCTCCACTTCCCCCTCCCATCCTCTCCACCGCATCTTTATTGATTAAAGGAACATTAATGGTTTTTTTAATTCCTTTTTCTAAGCATTGGCTTCTAGGGCTGTAAGAAACAATACACTTGCTCTGAGTACTGGATTCAAGGTTGCAGCTGAATTTATCTGTGAAATGTACTGTGATTGTGTTTTCCATTTATGAAAGTTCTTCCTTTCCACTGCATAAATGAGCATGTTATCATTTGCCTGCCTTGAGGGCTGCCTACAAAGGGGAAGAGCATATGCAAGAGAGACATACTCAAAGAACAAGAAACAAGAACAAGAAAATTAAAGGGTATATTTAACTGTGAGGTGAACAAAGCAACTTAGAAATTTTAGAGAGTTGCAAAGAGCTTTCCAGTTCAGATTCCTCTAAAGGGGGCTTGGTCTGATGGACTCTGATACCTCCCCCTAAGCTCTGTGATGCTGCCTTCTATGCCAGGAAGCATCTCCAATGGTTTTAATTTCTCTATCCTCACCAATGGGTGTTTGAGTTTAATCAGCTGCTTTTTTTGCTCTGAAAAGAAGGATAGATTAGAGTTCCCAAGCCAAGGCTTGCAGAAGCGACAGAGATTCTGAGAAACCTTTCTAAAGAGTGAGCACATACCTGCAGCACAAGTTCAGGTTCTCCTAAAGACCCTGCAAACTGAAGTTCCACCAAAGAAAGCATCCAGAATCTGAGGTGACTGGAAAACTCTTGGTCTCTTTTATGGCATTGATAAATTGTGGTGCACAGAAATAATATAGCACAGAGCTGAGCTGCAGATCTTGATTTAGGATTGTAAACTGAAAATTTATGCAGAACCAATTTTACCTTGGAAAAAATCATGGAAGAAAAATGCAAGAGGGCTCTTGCAACAACAACAACAACAACAAAAAATCTGTCTGAGGAAGTCTCTGAGCTGCAGAACACTGAAAGCTAAGAGAGCAGCAGTGTCACTATGTTTGGACCATTTTCACTGTGTTCCCTGGGTAGCTGCAGTTGGTCACCACTGCAGAGAGGATGCACTACACTGACTTTGGGGCTGATTTAGTGCAGTTGCTCCTGCCAGAAACACTTGTAGGCAAAGATCAGCTCTAATTCACTTTCCTTACCCATGATTTGATAGTGATGGTAACACAAGCCCTTAAAATAGACATGAATATATGGAGAGAATGTATTTTATATTCTGCTCATGTTTTATGTGAACTTGGATCTTTCAGCCGCGTCTTAGCAATCACAAGAAATCAGAGAGCTGTTTCCTGGATGATAGAAGTGAGGAACTGAGTTGATGAGTTGTCAATGCCAAACATAAAATGGGATAGACTTGAATGAATGTTCAAAACCAGCTCAGTTAAAGAGCCTGTGATCCAAAGTCAGAGAGGGTAAGGGGGAAGGAAGGTTGGACCCTAGCCAGTGTTACTGTACTTTTCTCAAAATGATAGAAAACTGAGACATAGAGATCTGAGAGAAGAAACCTCAGAAATGCATTTATATGGAAAGTACTCCTCTCCTTCAACCCACTCTCTCAATTTGCATGTATCCAAGTGTCTCAGCAGTTCAATCAGTGACCCAGACAGTTCTGAAACGAGGCAGCTTTAAGGAAATGTAATCTCTGTGTTTCTGAAGGTTAGCTTCCCAGCTGTTCATGCACCAACAAGATATTGTGGATATAAGAAGGACAGAGTTTTTTCCTAAGAGGATTTGTTCTGTGATGCAAAACTTCTTTCTGCAGTATTACCATAAAGCAAAAAAACTGGATTGATATTATCTTCTGTGAGAAACTAAAGGGACAAGGCCTCTCAGATCCTGATCAGGAGAGAAGTACTTGTTCTTTGGCACAGCTGCAGGTGCCAGCCACTCCCCATGGTGGCACAAGAGGGACAAAGTGGTGACATCTCCCCCTCCTTTCCACGCCAGCATCTTTGTGTAGCCACAATGAACAGTGGGTACACTGCAGCTGATGCACACTGAGAAGCTGGGGGACAGACTAATATTAAATACGCTCTGGAGCACCTGAAAGGGCTGATATTCTGCACCACACCCTCGTGCAGAGCTGCATCTTCAAAGAGCAATCAAGATCTTCACTTACAGAAATGCCACCCAGACACAGAAACAAAATGGGGTAAAAGGGTTGATCTAAAAGCCTGGCATGCTCTGACAAACCCTATGAAATTCTCTTTCTACTCTGAAGTCTGGAACACAACACACTGCCCATATTCTCCTTTCTACATGGATCTTTTATAAATTAGAATTGGATCCAAATAATTTAATAATGATAACAATATTATGCTCCACAATCCGATCTGTCAGGATCTTTTCTTCCACCATTCCCACTACACATAAAAAAGACATGTATGCAAACATGTGAAAGTACTAGTAGTTCAGATGTAAACCTGGGATACAAATATTAGGAAATTGCATCCAGAGAAAATAATCACTTTTAGATTATTAAATGTCCATTTTTAATAATCTGGCAGTAAGTGTACCAAGTCACAGTATATTTCCCAAGTAAAGCTTTAGAAGAGGTTTATTTTTTTCCCAAAGGTAGAGCATGAAACTGAGATTGCAAAACTGATGCAGCTTGTGCTTACCCAAGACAAGCAACGGCTTGATAAAACAAATTTGCTCAAGCATTTCATCTGCATGTGTAATGCTTTCACAGGTCATTTAATGCAGAATACCTCCCAAGTTTTTGGAGGGAATGTAGCTGCTGACACAGATCCTGTCCCCTGACATCTCTGTTCCATCATGGGTAGGGCTATCTCCAGCATCAAGCAAGTGTCCTGACAAACAATCAGCCCCCAGTGGGGGTGGAACACAAGGCACCACACCAGGATTTATTCAACTGACTTCAAAGTTCCATGCAATCTGCTTCAGAAAGATTGGTTACACGTGGGACTGTATGTATTTACATAGATTATTGTATAATCCAGAGATATATTTCAGTCCTCCTTATCTCCCATTATTCACCTCATGCCTGTTGAGTAGTTCGAAGTTATTGAGTGCTGTGTAAGTGCTAAGTGTTTGACTGATCACCTGTTACCAGAAACTGCCTGAATCTCTTCTAGAGAATGAAATACTCTTTTCATTATCCTGAGAAATAGAAAACCTTCTCAGCCAAGGAGAGTGAGCCATGGCTGGCACACTCAAGGTTATCACAAGAGCTGCAACTCCATTTTCACTTTGGCCCAGAGAGAAAGGAAAGCACAGTGCACCAAACCTGGACAGGGTGCTGAGCAAAATGAAATACTGAATGAACCAGCACATGATCATCCCTGTTTATCCATACTTTTTGTGGGAATTGGAAAAACAGAAACTTCCACAGACATTGAAGGATTTGATATGCAGCCTTGGAAGAAGCTTGGATTGATGTAAAAATAAAGCACACAGACATTAGGCAGAAAAATCATCAGCTTATGTTTCTACAGTTGTAAGAAAGAAAATGCCTTAAGAAAGTTAGAAACTGTATTGATAAGATGGTGAAAGGTTTGTAATGTAGAGGTGTGGTTGTATAGAGTAAGTTAAGAGTTTAGAAGTTATAATAAAAGTATCTGTGTGTATATGAGACAGAAGCTTATTGGACAAAAGTGTCCACAGGCAGCAAAATTAATAAAGGTGATAGGTTAGAAACGCAAAATAAAATCTGTGACAATTGTCTATTGGTTTAGAAAGTTCTATAAGTCTTGTAACAAAGAACTTGTGACTATTTTGAGCTATAACCAACTGCTTGCTCCTTTAAAATCTCACAGCCTCTGAGAGTGATGTTTATCTGAGCCATGAATCCTTAGGCCAAAGGTGGTCCCATCCCTTCACTGAAAGAGGTGACACTGATAACCTTCTCAGCTAAAATGACAGGGCTGGCACACTCAAGGTCACGGCAAGAGCTGCAACTCCATTTTCACTTTGGCCCAGAGAGAAAGGAAGGCACAGCCAGTGCACCAAACTGGACAGGGTGCTGAGCAAAGAGCAGCACTGAATGAACCAGTACATGATTCTCCTGTTCATCTTTAATTTCCTACCAGGGTGATTCTCCCTTACCTGAAAGTCAGCAGCCCAAGAGCCTGCAGAGGGTGAGAAAACCTCCAAGCCCTCAGCAGGGCATACATTTCTGACACAGTGGTTCTGTCCCAGCTGGGTGCACTGCCCAGCACCAGAGGAAGGGAGCAGTTCTGGTTATTGCAGGAGTAGCGATAAAACCACAAGATTCTTCTCTGCTGCTCTGAGAGTCTGCAAAAGAAGATTAAAATTTCAGTTTGAAATTAAAACCACCTGAAGCTTTGTGTAGCAACAAACTTTATTGTACAGAGGGGCCAAGTCACACAGTACACTGCTTTTCAGCTAAGTACATGTTTTCCTTTGGGTAGGATATCATTTTCTGCAGACCAGCTTTTATAAGAAAAGTGATACTTATATTCTGGATCTGTCAGCCTTAGGTCATATAAAAATGAAGTGTCCAAAGACACACACATATATATATGATTATTTCACATTCCAAGCACTTTCAATTTTCTTCTCTGCTGTCTCTATTGTTCATGTTGTTTGTTTGTTTTTACTGGTTGGGTTTTGGGTTTTTTTTTTTTGACAAAGAAGGTACAGTTGTCACTGGGTAAATTATTGTTACACCTATCTGCTACAGGACTTTCAGAACCAGACACACAGCACTGCAAGTCACAGATTTCATTCCTACCCTTGCTTTGCCTCTTTAATGCAGGGGTATCTATTTTTAACATATTTGCTTTTAAAATAATGCTTAGGCACATCTATGCATGTACACAAAAACAGGAGCACAGGTACACACATGCACAGTGTGATTACCCCTAGTGCTGATATGAGTTCAGAAAAGGAAAGAAAAGCTCCCAACAGCTTCTATTTATGTTTGAAATGTCTAGCTTCCTATATTTCACAAAAAAATAATTATAAAAAAAAGATGCAATATACCAAACTCCTCACAGGGATATTACATATCTAAATGTCATATCGATAAAATAGTCAGTCACCACACCATATTTCACCATAGCACAATAATTTCTGCCTTATATCGTCTGATTTGTCAACAATTCAGCCGTCTTTGCCTCATGCATATTAAATCTCAGGTTCTGACACATCAGAAAGCAGGAAAATAAATTTCCCTGGAGAGACAAGCTCAGACAACAGCCTTAATTTGATATCAGAGCCTTCAAAAGCAAACTCTTTTTGAGAGTTTGAGAGAAAAACCAAACTGAACTCCAGTTCCTACAAATAATCACTCAAATCAAGAAGAACATTGGTTTTCTTGGTCATATTTGACCAGGTTGGTGATGTGGCTAGTTAATAGCGTAAAACAATTGTGACTTAAAAAAAACCTAAATATTTCAGAATGAAGTGTGAGGGATCTAGGAGAAGGCAGTAAGTAAACAGTTTGCTTCCAGACAAGCATTTAATTATCCAGATGTGTAAACAGGGCTCAAAATCCAAGTGTGTTTACATTTTCTCCAAGGTTGTCTTCCTTCTATTTGCAATGTTTTGGAACATTCTTAGCCAAAAAACATTCTAGCCCCACTTTAACTGTCAAGATTGTGTCATTCACAGCTCATAGAAATGAGTTCCTTTGGCTCTGTAGGCACTTGAGAACTTTTTTTCCTTTGCAATTCTGAATTGCCAAGTGTTTAGGAACAGAGAGCAGCAGCACAAAGATGGGCATATTTTTCCCTTAGTGAATGTTAATTTCTTCCCTTTAGGAGAAGAAGCTCATAAATGTATGCAGAAGATGAACTTAAATGTGATACCAATCCTGACTTTCAGTAAGCAGCTCAGGAAAAGTGTCATTCTGGTAATGACTTCAAGAAACAACTCCAGAATTCTTAGCATGTCTTCTGTGACAATAGATAGATGCCTTTGTGATCATGTGAAAAAGTCACACACAGAAAAAGAGATAAAAGCAGACCTAAAACTTCATTGCCCGTCTGGTTGTCTTGTGCATTTGGATGACATTCTGCAGGACAGTTCAGCTAAAGGACCTCTTTCAAATGATAACTTTAAGCAGAGATTTCAGCTTTCAAACAGCATCCTCCAAACTAGACAGTCTGTTGTTCAGATTAAAGCAGCTAAAGCTTCCACTGAGCTTGCAAAGGGTGATAAGAAATCAATCCTTGTATCATGTTTTCTAAATAACAGATTTCTCCCTCTGACTTTACTCAGAGGCAATGCCATTTTCTCTTTGCATGCTTTAAAGATCAGAGATGAAATGAAAGGGTGGGTTGGGCAGGAGTGTCTTAGTTTTAAGTTTCTTAGTTGTAACAAAGTTTATATAAACATTTAATAAGACATTTAAGATAGTAAAAATATTTTGCATACATATAGGATCTGTAGATTGTTAAGCAAATAAGGGCATTTCTTTGTCTCAGTAGGGTTAAGATGCTATTTAAGCCTCTTTTTTGATAAAAGTTAGTTACATTTATGTTTTTTTAGGTGGCATATCTATTTAGGTGGTGCATCTATTTAGGTGTCTCTAAATAAGTACAGCTATCTATTTAGGTGTATATAAATGTCCCTCCATGTGAGATATATATTAAAATATATACCCTTCTGCCTAACATGAATAAAATCAAAATACCTTACAACCTAAATAATTCAGCAGTTTGCTGTTCAGGATTTGATTAATCCCTTTAACTAAATGAAGAAAACAGCTTCTCTGAAGGCTTTGTTAGCTGGTGTTTGTACTTTTTTGGTGGGAGAAGGAAAGAGCAAAAAATGGGTTTCAATGCTTCTGATCTGCTTTTTTTGTTGACTTTCAGTACTAAAGGAGAACAAGACAAAAGGAAAAAAGAGGAGAGAGCAGAGAAGATGGAAAACAAAAATTTCTGTCCCCCAGCATTGATTTTTACTTTAAAGTTTCTCTTCCATGGACAGACTAGAAAAGACCTTTTCCACTATTCACCCAGATGGAAGCAGATCTAATCCCACCTCATTACAGGATTTTTATGGCCACTGGTAAGCAAACTAGATCCTTTCCAGGCAAGTGGCCAAAAGGAAAAGGGAAGCTGGAATAGAGGGAAGGAAAGATAGAAGGAAATTAATGAATGAAGAAAATGAAGACGTAAGAAACCGGACTGGGATGATCCTGGCTTCAAATCAGTCTCCCATCCCTTCACTGGGACACACTGCAAGCAGGCTGCATCAGGTTCAAAGAGCAGCCTTAATCTCAGATGCAGAGCTTTCTGGGGCTTGTATTTCAAACACAGTAATCCTAAAAGGAATCAGAAGCTCACATTTGAAATATCTGCAGGTCAGCCAAGGCAGCTGGAAGTAACTCATGACCTCTCCTCTTGGCTCTCTCTGGTCTGGCTTGGTGATGATGCCAAAGATCAGAGTGAGGGGCTGTGAGGAGCCATGCGGGCATATCCATTTCCTTCAGTCCCACTCAACAACACCTTCATTAATCAACAACACCTTCATTAATCAACATCCAAGAGATGCTGGCAACAGGGACCAGTGGTCTGAGCCACCCACCATAAAGACAAGAGCCTGAGCTGCTGGGAGGAGCACATGTCTGGGACAGACACACGTCCATGTACCAGGAAGAGGCACAAGCACCAGGAACCAGCTCGGTGTAGCTGTGAACCTTGAGGGGTTTTATGTGTTTATTTTATGCTGAGGGTGTCAGCAGCTGGAGAGAGCAGGGAGAGCTGGGTCCAGCTACTGGATAGATTAAGCACAGCTACTGGGGCAATCCATTTTTGGATACTGTATATAAAATATATTGTATTTGCATCTATTCCAGCAGCAGACTTAGATCATGACCCTGCAGAGAAGAGGAACAGAATCAGGCTGTCTGTGCTGTCAGTTTTGTGGCAGTGTTGGACTTATAACACTGCTGGATTCAACACCATGCAGCTGTCTGCTTTTTACCACTGTTTCTTCCTTTTCTACCATTGGTTTAAGAGTTTTCTGTCCATTCACATATTCCCTCTGCTTGCAGTAGGATGAACAGAAGCATCCTGACAGACTGAGAAAGGTTTCTTGTATGCTCTGACACAGACACCTACTCATTTCAAAGTCATATTTGAGGCTTGTAAGCCTGAAGCATCATCACAGAGTGATACTGCCACTAAAAAAGCTGCCTAGATTCCTCTCTTTTTCTTGACACATGGAAAAAAGAGAAAAGAAGAAATCTTCAGATATCATGGCAATAATGTGTTGGGATACACACATGCTACAATTTTTAAAGAGAAAGTATTTCATGAAAGAGAAAGGCTAAAAGAATTCCTCTGATACAAAAATTTACAGACTGACAGATTCCTCTGGATTAAAATAGTACCAAAAAATGGAACTGCTTCATTCAAACCCCAGATATGTTACTCTTCCCTTGATGATTCATTTACTAGACCAGCTTTGCCTGTTAAACAGGAGAACAGAAAACAACTAACTATGGGAAACCACAGGATTACCACTGCCTTTCCTCCAAGGACCTGTAACTGAACTGAGCACAGCCTAAACTCCAAACTGGTGACTTTCAGTGGTCTCTTCCCTTCATAGTCCCACAGAACCCAAAATTGTTGTATTAGGGATGTTATAGGATCGATCCTTTGTGCTGATCCTTTGTGAAACCTATCCATGAACCTCTTATCTTTGAATTTGTGTTCAGCCTTCATTAATGTGGTGATGTTGTCATCTGCCTTCACAGCTTTGTGACAGACTTTAAAATCTCACCACTGACTGTCTAAAGAAACACTTTATTCCATTTGTTGAGAATTGATTTCCTACTCGTTTCATTGAATGTCCCTAAGTATAAATATTGTAGGATTTGATGAGGCATTTACCTTTTCTATCACCATCACGATTTTACAAAAATTAATTGTACAATTGTAGACATCCTCTAGTCTTCTCTCCACACTACAGTCCAGACTTTTTAGCTTCTCTTGGTCAAAGAGAAGCCTAAGCCCTTTCATGATATTTGTTGTCCCTCTCTGCACACTTTCCACATCTACTGTGTCCTTCTCGAAGACAAGAACCATGCAGCATTCTCAATAAAATGGACATTAAGGTTTTAAGCAGCAGAGAAAGGGCATGAGCTATCTTCTTTGACAAACTACTGTGTACTTTGCTAATTTCTTAATGATCCTATTCCTTCTTACTGAAACCACATTTTTGCCATGGGAACAGAGGTCACAGGCATTGGGTTTCAAGTTCCCTTAATCATTCTAAAGCATATTTTATAGATGGAAATTTCACTGTCACTGTGGCTCTTCATAATAAAATACTGACATCCCATTCACATTTTAAAACAGAATAATGAAACCTCAAATCACAGATCCTCTGGTTAATAAAAATAATTTTACATTTTGTCTGTCTTTGTAAAAGTTAAGTTAAACATAAAACACAACTCTTTTTTAAAATAAATTAATTTTAAAAACCCTCAAACCACCAACATAGAAATCAGCACAGAAAAATCTTCTTAACAGATACATCATATCCCACTGAGAGTGCTGAATTAAGTTGTTTAGTTATTGCAAAACTAATGCACCTTTTGATCTTTGATGGAGGATTAATTCACACAATTAACTGCCATTAGTATAATGGCTCTCTGTGAGCACCTGTGTTCCAAATTCCACTCTGATTACACCCAAAATTACTTTATGCAGTACATAATCCTAATTGGTAGTACAACATTCATGTAGCAGAGCATACTAATCTACCTCAGTGCAGTGTGTTTTGTACTGCTGTGTCTTTATCCACCTTCTGTGGAACCTGAACTTTCCATACTTCTTTCCTCACTTATGACCTGAAACAGATTTTTCAAAGGCCATTTCAGAGGTCCCATCTGAAGTTTGAGTGTTTAATAAACAAAGGAGGCTGATTTCCATAGCACCTAAAGGTGTTCTTGCTAATACTGGTACAGATGCACTGCGTTACCTGAAAATCTTATGTTTTGAATGAAAAATTAGTTTCTTGCCTCAAAGACATGAAAAGATGTAGTAACAGAAAGGGAAAAAAAATCCTTTTCCAAACTGATAAAATACACTGCCACCTCCAGGGCCTTATTAGGACTCACTGTGATCTATTCTTTCATTTAGAGGTGTTGCTGTTACATCTCAAATCAGCCAAGCTAGGCTCCTTCAGAGGAGAATTTTGTTTTTAACAAATTGGATACATTTAATAGTGATTGATAGGGTAGGTACAGCGCAGCAAGAACCAGCAGGGTGAGGTGGGGACAACTTACAGCAAGAGAGAATGTCTCTGGGAAAGTCTTGCAATGTGCTTCAGGCACTCTTGGGTTGGCTCTACAAGATCACCTCTTCTTTCCTCAGGTTCAGGTTTAATGAACTCCAAATCAGCTTCTGGGAAGTCAACCTTTATAAACAAGAAAAGAAAGCGGAAAAAAAGAAGACAGAAGGGTTTTTAGCAATGTGTAATCTCCATTACAAGTGTCAATAAATGTTATTTTGGATTTGTACAGGGAGTATACAAAGTACAACAAATAAAAGGAGGGATAATTGCTTGAGGATGCTCACTGTATGTAATATGTTACCTAAAAGTTTTGGTGATAAATTCCATCCACAGAATTCAGTGGAACCTAACTTTCCTGGAAAAATTTCAGTCACCATATTGCAATTTTATTAGAACTCCATAAGTTCAAAACGAAACTTTTTGTCTCCTTTAGTTTTGTTTTTTTTAATGAAATCATTCTCAAATGGAAACCTTTCATTAATGTAGTTTTGTTTTGGTTTTTGAAAAGTAAGGCTATTTCTGATGTGCAGCTTGTCACTGCAAGAGATGGAAATCAGATTCCCGATTTCTCTTCTGGATGTTCAATTTATAAATATATTGTACAGCATCTACCAATTTTCCATTCTTACACATGCCTGTCAGAAATTAAGGATAATGTTTTTTAAGATACAGAGAAAGCAAACGTTCAACCAAAACTACAAAGCTTGAGGTACTTGATAAGCTGAATAGACATCTGAAAATTCAGATTTTTCCTCATAATTCAGCTCAATTTGCATTCAGCTTTGGTCTATTAATGCACGCCAAAATGTCTTATCTCTAATTTTTAATGTAAATATTTGATATGCATCACTCTTCTAAAAGTTAACAAATTTGCTTTCTATAAAACACTCAGTCACCTTTCAAAACTGGATGATCTTTGAGGTCTCCCAACCCAAGCCTAGATTTTCTATGAAAATATATATTTGCAATATTTCCAGCATGCTCAGAAATTGTGATACTGCTATATGGCTAGGAGTAACTGAAAATGAGGGGAAGCAGAATGAGAAATCCTGTTTCATTTGTTTCAGTAGATATAAAGTAATACATAAATTAATAGCCATTTACTATGTCAGCTTCCCTGAATTATTAATAGGGGGAGCTATTTTAAGGCACGATCTTTGACTGAACTCCTCAGCCTGGAAAATCCCCATTTGCTTGTCTATTAAAACAAGGTTATTTTTAGGCCAGGATAATTTATCTGTATTATCTGCTTTTACATTTCATTTGTTAACATACATTAGCATTTTTAAATACAGAAAACAAGTGGCTTTGTCCTTGGAATAACCAGTTGCTAACTCAGCCTGGAAAGGTGACAAAACTGCCATGCAGACCTGATGTAATTCTTTGAGTGGCTGCAATGGAAATTGGATGTTGAGTTTGGGTGGTCTGGATGAGCCGTGGGAACACCCCTTTTCCTTGCACTTTGCTAGAAAACAAGCTTTGCTTTGCTTTCTGGCTCCCTCACCTGCAGGGTGGCTGAGGTTGGTGTCTCAGTGCTGCAGATGCCCGGGGTGATCATTGCTGTGGGGACTGTGCTGCACGGTGCCAGGCTGAGCAGCACGGTTCCATGGACCAGCCTCCTGCAGGAAACAGGGAGAAACACTGCACTGGTAATCACTGACATCCCACTGAAGACATGGAACTGCAGAGCTCAAAGGACAAGCAAAAGGAGAGCAAAGCCTTTATCTTGATGTGACTAGTACAAATCTGGCCCCAGTAGAGTATTGTATTTGCAGGGATGCCCTGACAAAGGCAGGAATGATGCATCTGACTCCATCTTATCAGAAGGCTAATTTATTACTTTATTCTACTATATTAGTTTAAAGAATACTATACCATACTAGAGAATACAAGAAGGATACTTACAGAATGCTAAAAAGATAATGAAACCTTGTGACTCTTTCCAGAGTCCTGACACAGCTTGGCCCTGATTGGCCAATGAGTCAAAACAGCTCACAGCAGAATCCAATGGAACAATCACCTGTGGGTGAACAATCTCCAAACACATTCCACATGAGCACAACACAGGAGAAGCAAAGGAGATAAGAACTGTTTTCCTTTCCTCTGAGGCCTCTCAGCTTCCCAGGAGAAAAATCCTGGGCAAAGGAATTTTTTCAGAGAATATGAATGCCACACAGTAGAGGGTGCATCCCGGTGGCCTGACTGCCACAGCAGCCGCTCTGCACTTGCAGAGATCATGAAAAAAAATCCCTCTGCCAAGACATTCTGAGTCAGCTCTGCACTTTACCTCTGGCTTCTTGTGTGACAGGGGCTGCCCTTTAAGCCAGGTGTAAAAATAAGGATAATTCTGTCCCAAGATTTAATTTTGAGGGCAAATATGGTAGAAACTGTGAAGCATCGATACACTGTAAAAGGTGGAGGGCAGCATATTTATTCCACAAAAAGAAGAAACTCATGGCTATCTACTGCATCCATAAGGGATCCTTGCTGATTTTATGTGTAGGTGGCAGGGAGGGAAAGTATGATATGAAAGTCTATAAGGAGCTAAAAGGAGTTTGAGTGGGATAGTTTGTACCACATGTGCCACATGGAGCTTTTGGACAGATGAAAGGTTATGGTCTGAAGTACCAGTCTTAGCACTACACCCACAAGAAAGTCTTATCAGTAAAACAGGCATGCATGTGGCCAGCAGATAAGAAACCCAGCCTGATTTGGCAGGGCAGCACAATCCAGTCTAGAGAACTTGAATGAAATCAGAAAGTTTGGATGTAAATCCTAAGCATGACAAACCAACTCAAATTGATATTGCACTGAAAAAGGAAATTATTACACACTGGGCTTACCCCTTAATTTGTCTATATCTTAATGAGTAGTGAGGTTGGAAATTTCATTATGTTCAGCACCTCTTCTTTTACTATTATTTTAAAATATTTTTCATTAAGATCTTTTTAAACACTGCTCAGGCAAAACAACTGAGAGAATCACTAGATACTGCAGCACAAAGAGCCAGCCAGGTAAGAGGTCTGAACTCTAACCTTTCACCTGGGAGAAGATGTCAGAGGTACAAGAGACACCAGATGGACTATTTGATCCCAGCATGAGTTTGCAACATTGCTGTAAAGAAAGTATCTTTTGAATTGCAAATTAAAATAAATTGCTTAAAGTCATCTGAAGAAGATTGAAGAAACTCCCACAAAGTGACTGTTACAGTCAACATAAATGAGTATAAACCTAATTCAGGACTAATTTTTCTTTTCTACTTCTTGAGCTGTTTGTGTAGTTAGCACAGACATTTTACTTTATTTTTTTGTGAGAACAGAGCTCAGAAGGATTAAACAGTTATTTTCTGAAGGTTTTTTTGCAGCTGTAGGTGGATTTGCAAGGGAATGGAGGCAGAAAAAGAGCTGTGATATGAGCAAGATACTTGGAAGAAAGCAATTGTGTGATATGAAGTCTCTCTCATTTAGGTAATCGCTGTGAATGAGGAAGTGATCAATGGTGATTCAAAGAGGTTTTCCTGTGATGTGTACTCAGATGACCTTTAATAAATGAGTTGCATCTCTTCAACTAATCCTTTGTTGACAAAGATTTACATCATAATTTGAACTAATTGGCACTTTTGTTAGAAGAGAGAGGACTAGCTGAGAATAAACGAACATGAAGACTAAATTACCCTTCTGAGTTCTCATTACTGCTAATCACTTTCATATTGTGCTCTAAAACTATGGGGGCCTTTAAAAAAGAATACATTCAGTGGATTTTTTTTCCTGTGAAACCTGTGTAGACAAATAGTACAGACCTCAGAGGTGCTATAGATGTGTTTGAGACCTCTCCTAACAAGAAAACAAGAAACAACAGGAAAAGCAGAAAAGGCCTTGGCTCTGTGCAAGCCCTGCTCAGTACCAAAACCATCTCTACATTATCAACCCTGTGCTCAGCATAAATCCAAAACACAGCTCCATACCAGCCACTGGGAATAAAATTAATTATATCCCAGCCCAAACCAGCACACCTACCCAACTTTGGGGCACTACAAGCATAGTCAATGTTCCACAGAGAAAACAGCTTTTGGACACAGAAATGGAACAGTAACAGGGGCCAAGTGGATAAATGAAGCAGGGAAAAGATGCATCATTATTTTTAGAAAAATAAGCAGGTGAGAGGGCAGGATCCATTCAGAAAATGAAGGAATTAACATCATGAGCATAATAACCATATCCTGTAGTGAATAGACAGATTCTTCTCTCTGCTACTTGGTTCTGCTGATGAGCTCAGGAAGGTCACTCCCTATTCCACCTACCATTCCAGTTTTTCTATCCCTGAGGTGAAGGTAATGACCTTTTAAAGACTCCTGTAATGATCACAGACACAGAAAATGGCTTTCATGTAACAACTTCACTACCAAGGAGATCAGAAAGTGATCATCCTGTTCTGTACCTACTGCCATTTATTCCTTTTGGAATTACAGAGATTCTTTTCTCTTGTTTATTACTGGAGCTAAAATAACCTTCCCATCTTGCTACAGAAAATGACATTGCTATTTAAAGGCAGCTCAAGTTATCCTAAGTTGATAAAGTCAGCCTTTATACCCTGAAGTCCCATGGCAGACTTTCCCCGCAGGAGGAAAGTTTTGCTGCTTGCTCTGTCTGATTTAGAAATACCAAAATAAATTGTGGTAGAATCAGTGAAGCCAGAGCAATGTGGGGGAACTGTGGGGACATTGCAACCCTCCAACTGCCCCAAAATGATGGATTTCTGCTTTGTTCATCAGCTCTGAATCACTAAACTGTTCAGCCCAAGAGAGTAACAGAGTTTCTGATGTGAAGGAATGGAAGGCTGGCACACAAAAGGCTTGCAAACCCTTTTTGAACTGCCTCTAGCATCTAATGAGACTTCTTGATACAGATGCACCACCAAAGGCTCTACTGGCACTGATTTAGGGCTGCTGTCTGAAGTCAGCTCTCTGATAAGAGAAAAGCAGATATGATGGCTCACCAAGAGGGCAAGAAGGCAGCTACACTCATCATCTCTGTTTTCATTCAAAAATGTACATAACATTAGAGGAGGGTTACTGCTTAGGCTGAATAAAATGGGAAAATCAGTACAAAGTACTGTGTAAAAATAATGTAAGTGTTCCCAAACCTGACATTATAAGGCTCAGAAGTTCAGAGTGGAGGTTAAATTTAAAGGAGAGGCAAAGCTGCTAAAATATATAAAAAATCCTTTCCCATATTTTATGACTCAAGCAGTCCTAATTCTGCACTGGAATGATACTGGGAAATAACTCCTTTATTATAATTACAAATACTACAGAGTTCTAGAAAATTAAAACTAGAGACAATTTTCAACTACAAATTAATGCTAAATGTACTGCAGACATTTATAAGGATCACAACCTCCATCCCTACAGTTTCTAGTTTAAATAACTTCCCTAAATTTGTAGGATAAATTGGTAAGTTATAATTACATTGAGTACAAAATTATTCCAGACTTTGAAAAAAATTTTGCATTTACGTTCCTGATTACTTTGTAATTTTTGTTCCAAAAATATAAAATCACGAAATTACCTTACAAGCAATGATTTTAGAGTAAACAACTCCATTTAGGCAAGGCTTGGAGAATACTTTCAGGAAGTCAGCTTGATAAGCAGGAGTCCCAACACATGTTTGGCTGACTACAGTGTGTATCCAACAGCTAATAATGTCATAAATCTGCACACTGCAAGAAAACTGTGACTAGAGTGCAAGATAACACTAGAATTCAGGAAATAATGTAAATTAAGTAAATTTGCTAAACATCTGTTCACTGACAAGTCTTTAGCAACAACAAAAACCCTAAAGCTGGCCAAATTCTTGAGGATGGTTTTAGGTATTGTGTGGTTTCAAAATGGGCCAGGTGAGAAGAATAGATTGCAATATAAAAAAAAAAGTAATATTCTTTATTTAAAGAGATAGATTTGTTTCTTTATAAATAAATAAATAAATAAATGTACTTATCCAATCTGATTAGTATTTTTTAGAGGAAAATGGGAATGGTAAACTCTCAGCAAATAACTACAGGCCTTTGATCTGGCAAGAGTTTTAAACACTGTCGTGTTCAAAGGCATGAGAAACTTCACATGTCTTGAAACAGATTAAAAGGATTTGTATACACGTTAAATTCATGTTTTTTAATCTTCAGTTCAAATTTTTAAATGTAAAGTATTAAAATACAAAGAAGCAACGCAGCCATACAATTGAAATAATTATTTGGAAAGAGAAATTAGATATAAAATTTACAAAGAGGAGCAAATTCAGAGACTTTTTAATTAATGTTCTTTTGTCCTAACAGATCAAGATTCTAAGCAATACCTGTGAATAACACAAAACTGCTGTCTTGGTTTTTTTCCCTTCTCTCTTCAACATAAGGCAAATAACTTTGAATAGAATTTCTGCGGTTTTAATCAGATAATGATATAACAGGACAAAAATGAGGAACAGTATTTTAAGAAAACATGTTTGACATTTATTTTGTTTTTCCAATGTTTAACAAAACAATCTTTTTTTCTTTTTATCAAGCATCTGAATAGGAAAATAAGAACCACACTCTGTCCTTATCTTCACTGACCCTGAGAAGAGACCAACTGGGACAAGGATTTGAACCAGGATGTTTGATGACCCTGGCAAATACCTCAGGGCAGCTGGCTTCTTCAAAGAGCTTATTTCTGTCCTTTCCCCAGTAAATTAAATTCTAGACATAAGAATGTTAACACTATTTTAGAAATCAAATTCACCTCTGAGGAAAGTTTTATTTTGAGAAAGTGTTATTGTCCAAGCAAGAAATGTTTTGTCAAAGATTTTCTGGTCAGATTTCTTTAATCTCTTTACACACATTCACAGAGTTTGTTATTTAAAAACCCTAATACCATAATCTTTGCAGTAATACAAGGTGCTCTTGACATATTAGCATGACACTGGAAGTACAAATCTTTTCTTGGTACATACTTCCAAGTTCAGAAGTGCTCTACCGAAATAAATCTAGAAAGTTTAGTTGCACTCCAGCAGCAAGGGGAATTCCAGGGCAATTCTTATTTTCAAGACCAGTTTGTCTATCAATTGAAATCACAGAGAATGAATAATCCTATGGAGATGTGGTTGGCCAAAGGAGAAAAAAGGCATTTAGGCTTCTTTGTGGTAGTAATTACTGTAATTGCAAATGACACAGATATCAGATTAAGGGGTGTTGAATATGCTATTCCTAAATCATTCCTGCAACAACTCAACCTTGATTTCTGCTTTGAAGGGTCACTTCAGCAATGATCACTCCAATTACACACCAAATGAAAGGAAAGTGGCCCTCTATCCCCTTCACTGTGCTGATTGTGTGTTCCAGGAAAGAACAGAGCCATTTTGCAGTCAAATTTTTCAAACCATCAGGATAGTGTGGGCATCTACCTAACAAAAACCATTGTGCTTCCTCTGATGACATACATGAAAAAATATACCTCAGAGGGAGCTGAGGACTTTCAGGCCTTCCAAAAGTCATTCCTTTTGGATTTGAATGCTGGAAAAGATGAAAACCTCCAGAACAACACAGGTCCTCAAGAACAGAATTCTCGTATAGGAACCTTTGCAGGTAAATGGGGTAAGTGTTCCCTCATTAAATTATCATGCCTCAAACACATTTCATGCTTTCTTTAAAAATGCATACACAATGGAAGAGTGAAGTGCCCTTCTTAAGGCCAACTATGAAAGAAAAGTAATTGAATAAATTTCCCCAGCAATCCTTGCAGCAGAGATTTGATTCATGCTTCTTTCCTTCCTTCAAGCTAAGTGCTCTACACACAAAGTCACAAAAGAGCAGAGTAACCTTGAATTTCTCTGAAAAGATGGAAAAAGCATCTAGCCCAGTCCAAATAATTCCCTACACCTCTCAGATTAAAAGCTCAAGGAAACACAAGGTCTATCAAATATGGTAAATTAATATATGCAGTCAGATTTTTTGTTTTATTTTGTTTTGAATGGTGATTGCCACCATGTAGAGAAGTAGATCAAGATGCATCAAGATAAGGAAAGAGCTACAGCTTAGAGGTTGACGGTAATGTAGAAATTTGGGGGGCTTGAACATATCCCTCTATTGCACTGAGGGTATTGCAGGGCTATGGAGCCCAAATAAAAAAATCTTATAATTGCAAAGACTCGGTCTAAATTCAGGTGAAACATATTTAGAGCACTGCAGAAAATTTACCTTGGGTATTTGTACTTCACTGCAGAGACATTCAAGCTACAAGCACCTTTAAGCCACTGTTACATTGTGTACTGTGCAGAAAGAAGTGGTTAGAAAAGAGAAGAAAGCTTCTAAAGTGGTGTGGAAAGTGAAAAGTGCTCATTGTGGTCAGCACTAACTGTCCCAATTTCAGCAGAATGAAAGTGTGTGAGAACACAAAAAAAACCCCAAAAAACAGCCGTTGTGAAGAAGAAAGAGAAAGTGTTAAAGAGTCATCTAAAACTAGAAAAAGAGGAAGAGAAAGAGGAAAAGAGGGAAGGGAGGGAGAAAAGAAAGGGAGAAAAGAAAGGGAGAAAACACCTGTGGATGTAGCTCTTACTGGCACATCCAAAGCAGTTTGCTGTGAGTGACACTCTCAATCTTATTACAAGAGGTCCTGAAATGAGTAATTTTGTCTTTTTATATTTCTCCCAGGTTGTAGTCTCCACTATTCAAGAATGGTATTTTCTTAAGGTCATACAAACCCAAACTTACTCTTTTGCATACAAGGGGCAGCATGTCCAAGCAAGCACTTCTGTATTTTTAGAGGCACTGTTTACTCCCAGCAGTTTTACTGTCAGCATAGTTTCCCTTGGAAGAGCCTTTATTCGTAAAGGGAAGTTAACCCTACAAGAAAACCAGAAAAGAGAAAAAATAAAAGCTAAAATATCTGAGCATTGTTACAACAAGTGGGTTATTTCTACATTTTCCTACATGTTCTAACACATCTATTGAGCTATAAATTACAGAAGGCACTCTGAAGCAAAGTGCCACTGACAGATCCCTTCAATACATTGATGAGCATTGGCAACCATTAACCTGAGTTACAGCATTTGAGAAGAGGCAGATAAAAACTCATTCACTTCAGTGGTAACTACTAGAGGTGGCAAAGGCAGGAAGAACTTAATTAAACTTTCCTTTCGAATTACCTTATGAGTGAAAGGCTATTTCACAATAAGGAGCCTGTTAAGGGAGAATTGTCAAGCAGCAATTATTGGCTGTCTTGTGTCTTCAGAGGAAAACACCACTTAAAAAGCAAGAGTTGCTGAATGATAATCATTCTCTTGTTCAGTTGTTCTTTGGTGTGTTATATTTCTTAACCACAATTTAAAGGCAGATGTTGTTTTAACAGCAATGACAGATTTGCATTTTTTAGTGAGAAAATTCAATTTTCATCAATATTCATCTCAATTTTGCATTGACCATTAGCTTGCTTGGTCATTCAGTTCATTTATACAATTTATGAAAATTTATCTAAAATAATAACTTGGAATAATTCCAATAACCAGATAACTTCATGCTGTATGGAAAGACGTGTAATTACCCACGCAAGTCTGCATTTTCTTTTTCCTGAACAGATAATTTTCTAGCCTTATCCATGTATATTCAGAAGAAACTCAAATTTCTTAAGAGAGTAAAATTAATTACATGTTTTTCTGTATAAAAAAAATCAATATAAGGAGCTAGGAGCTAAAAGGATTACTCCACATTGATAATATAATCATTAAGAAAACAAAAGATCCGCATAAACTGGAGATTAAGAAAACAGACTAAAAAGATAAATCTGAGTAACAGAGTGACAGAAGAATGCAACTCAGCAATTTTAAAAAGATATAGTCACACTTAAACAGCAAGCAAAAGTAAAAACTGCATTTTAAAAGTATATTAGCCTGTAAAACATAAGAATTATGGGTGCTAGAAGTAAGGCATGGTAATAGTGAAAGGAAAAATCAGCATAAGATTTTGCTCCCAGTTCCAAATCTATCAAATTTCTATTGAATTTGGAAAAGTTTCCTTGAATGTGCTGAGGAGCTACTGAAAGAAATTAAATGGGTTTCAGCTGAAAACCTGAAGTACTCCAAATCAGCATTAAGGTCAAAATTTAAGATCATCAGTCTTCCAACATTTGGAAATGATGCAAATTTGCACACCTCCCTCTTTGAATAACAAAGAAAGACAGCCATTTCCCACTCTTTCTGATTACCATGAACAGAATTGAGAAGCAACTCTCAACTGTCTTCCCACGTGTCCCTATTTATAGCTTTCAAGTTTGCTTTCCCTGTCTCATGAACTCTTCCTTACTCATAATTAGTTCGAAACAGTTATTGGGAAACCGAACTGGTTTACCTGCTAAAAATAACTTCTGTCTTTTTCACTGAGAGGCCAACAACATTTGTTACATAAAAATGTTTGACAGAATTAACTTTAAGAACCATTAATGATTTGAAGAGACAGTAATAAAAACATCAAGACATGCATTTTGTGATACAGACAATTGTTAACACACTGTCTGAATTTGGAGCAGTGAAGAAAAACTCTCAGTATCATCACTGCAGAAACCAAATGTTTGCCAGAGTTTCCCTAGAACACATGCACCACTACTTCTAGCAGGAAAAGAGCCTGGAAACTCTGACAAGTTACACATCCCAAGAGTTAAAGTATGAGCCAAAAAGGACCAAAATTTCCCTTCTGGAGACATGTGATACACAAAAAAGAGAAATACCTGTATTGCTTTTAAGAACTTGTAGTGGTTTTGGTTTGCTAATTTGAGATTTCCTGGCCAAGATTTTTTTATGCTTAACATATGTTTTACACAAAAGCATGTACAGTTTCTTAGTAGTTCAACAGACTATCAACTCTCAAAGCCATCACTAATTAGTTCTTTTTTTCAGACACAGAGAAAAGTACCAACAGCCTCTCCTAAAACATCACTTCTGTAACACAAAACCGAGATAGAACTTTAATTAATGCCTATCTGAATTTACCCAGTTGGTCTCAGCCTTTGTGACTGCAGGAGGCTGAGCCAAGTGGGTGACTAAGAAGAAGGGATGGAACTCTGGCCAGGAATGAGACAAAGAAGCTGCTCACTGAGAAGGTGCCATTCACAGGTATCAGATAAAGTTATACAACTTGTTTCCTAAAAGCACTCAACACAGAAAAGCTCTGGGGCAACCCAGAGAGAATGGAAACAAAACAGACAAGCCAAGAAAAATAGGGAGAAGAGGGAAAACCAGTGCCAAGAAAGTATCTGAGGTGATGAATGGTTGGCTTAATGTTAATTCCATACTTTGTGTCTGTAGGTTTAACATAAATTATGAAGGATGGAAAAAGAGGAGATGGTGAAATAAATACATCAAGAGCAACTAGCTAAGACCAAAGAAAATAACTAAGAGATCTCAGCCACCAGAAAATGAAATTGATGAGAAAATAAGGGGGGCAAATTTGGACTTTACACATTATAAGTTAAATGGTACCAGCCTGTTTGGACTTTGCATCAAGAAGAAAATCACGCTCTCCAAAGGTAATTTACAAGTTCTAAAGCAAAACTATACTCTCAAAAAAGAACAAACAGAAGAAGCACTGCGCAAGGCAAGCTTCTTAGGAATCAAATTATTTCCATCATTTCTGAGAACATTTTGGGAAAGATTAAATATGATAACAGACTTTAACAGAAGATGGATTATGTTTATACATAAAACCTCATCATGATCAAGTTTAGACACTAACTGGTTAAAGTACTTGAAAACAGAAACCAAATTAATGAAAACCAGTAAATAAAGCAAGCCTTGTCTTTGGCAGAAGCTCTCTACCTAGACTCCTCATCACCAAAACACTACTTGCCTTTTTCCCTCCCCCATCCCATTCAAATAAATCCTAATGTAAGATCAGAACTAATTTTGAATTAGCCAGGTTTATTTTATGGCCCGAATGTTCCATAGCTATATAGAGAATATCTGCCTTCCTAATATAACAGATGTTCCTCCTGGTGACCTTTTCCCCCATTCATTTTTAACAGCTGTGATCAGCTTCTCTGGGCAAAATGTGCCAGAGCCTCCCCACCTTCAGAGTAAAGAATTTTTTACTAACATCTTACCTAAACCTCCTCTTCATTTAAGGCCACTAGCTGATTTAAAATGCTCACCTGGCATCTCTATTTTGACTCAAAAAGAACATTTTTTCACAAAACCCAGTTCTGGATACATGTTAAACAGAAAAACAATAATGGCACACCTGGTTCCCCAGATTCTCAGCCTGCATCTCAAGACAAGGGGTTCAAGAAACCTCCCCTCATGTATTAAACAAATCTAGGTCAGTGAGAGGCAAAAAAATGTGAATACCTTTAATGTTTGAGGGAAATATTCAAAATCCTGCCAGATAGATACAAATTTATGGGGTTTTACTTTTGAATTTATTTGAAATGGATTTTGAATTTTTCTTGAAAATCAAGCAACAATAAAAAGTAAAAAGATGCTCCCCTAAACTGATGCTATTATGTTTCACACACTTCTAGATCTGACATTAAAAGCCTCTTACAAGCATCTATGACCTATGAAAGGATTTGTTCTGCATATTTAAATTTCTTATTTTTCCAATAAGATTTGGATGGAATTGTGCACATTTAATAATGATTTTGCAAGGGAGAAGTTTCAATGGAAAGCCTGAAGCTTCAGGCTGATTGTTTTACGTTTTCATGAAACAGAAGAAGAGCAGAATTTCTGCTTCAGTTACACTAAATGCTTATTTCTATTCTATCTTCCATTTTAGCCAATGTTTTGTAACATGCACTCCAGAAAAGCATTAGCTACCTTTTAGAAGCCAAAACTGCTTATAAGAAGTATAATCCTCCTCATACCCTTTAATGTTATCTGCCTGTATGCGCCATAAGAAATTACATGATTGAAATTTGGACAAGGTGAAAATTCCTACAGAGGACAATGGAATGATATAATTTTTTAAACACAAGGACAACAGCTGCTTGCCAATCATACAAAAGACTGAGGGATATGTACTTATATGCTATGGACACAACTGAGGGTGATGCCTTGGGTTTCAGCTTTGATATTTTCAGATTCTGTGCTGCTTTAGTGTGTGGGTCTGAGCTTTGTATTAGGGGATGGTGAGCTCTGTGCACAGAGCAGGGAGACAAAACAATTCCTGCTCCAGCTGGGCACCAAGGACAAATGATCCAAATCTCAGCCCAAGGGCACAAACACCGTGGGCTGGAGAGAGAAAAACAAGCAGGGTGGGACTGCCTGGGCTAAAGCTGGAACGGGACAATGAACTGCAAGGTGCAAATGGAGCAGAACTGATCCCAGGGACAGACCCCGTGCCCGGCCGTGCATTTTGGGGCCATTTTGGTTCATCTTGGGTGCAGCCCTGGCTGGGCTCTGGTGCTGCCCAAGGTGCATCCATGGAGGAGATCCTTTGCATAAATCCCTATTTTATTCTTTAACTCCATCCAGCCTCTGTTCTAGGGCAGCCTTCAGAGGGCATCAAAGGCCTTATCTGGATACTTAGCAGAAGTTCACCCATTTTGTTTCTTAATCATACACAGACCTACTAATCTTCCTATATCCCTCTACTAAGATAAATGTGTTTGACATGAAAAGCTCTTCTTCCATTTGACCATTTTGATACTGTTGTGCGTCTCAGAAAAAGGCAAACAGAAGTTATGGATTACACATAAAATTACAATTGTAATTAGGAAAATACCCCTAAAGAAACCTTTTCAGACTTGTGGCCTCTGTTCAATTGTAACGTTATCAAGCTGCTTTCACATTTAGAATACAGTAAACACTGATGCAAAACACCAAAAATTTCAAAGATTGTAAATATAAATATGTAATTCTCAAGAAGCTGAAAGAATTCCATATCACCACCAAATCATAAAAAAGGTGTATCTTTCTCTCATCTATTGTAAATATGCTTTTTTTCATGCCATTGCCTTAACTGAATGCTGACTGAGTGCAAGACAGACAGGTAACAGGCAGCTTTTATCCTAAAATTCCAGTCTCAAATTAAGATCCTCATTGTAAAACTGCAGATCCTTCTAATTAAAAAACCAAAACCATAACAAACAACCAAATAAAATAGCTCGCCAAAAATTAAACAGGCAAACAAACAAATAAGACTCCAAACCTAACAACCCAAACAGCCTTGTTTGATATAACAAGAACCTTGAAGAAATGTTAAAGTAGGTTCTCAAGCTGGATTGCAAATGTATTAAAGATAGATCCAAAAGGTGGAATTCCTCAAAAGAACATAAATAAGGCCTTTAATTGCACTTCTTTCAGTTCTAGCACTCCTGGATCCCTCCAGTGAACAAAAGCTGTCCACAGACCAGCTCAGTTTAACGTATTGTCAGACCAGACTTACCTCAATCCTATTTCCCTTTCTCTGGCTGTCCCATCCCATTCTCATTCCAATCTCTCTAAGTTTTTGTGAATTCTGTGCCGTTTAATTGGCTCAGAAGAACATCCATAAAAAAATATGCTGTTCTGGGTTTTTTGTGTTTTTTTGGTTTTTTTAAAATGAATATTGGATGTGTAATATCTGTCAGAGAATCATATATCAAACACAGACCAAAACTTACTTCTCATTCCAGTCAGCCAGGAAAAAGAAGGATCTTTTAACTGGAGTATTTTTGCAAATCTTCACTTGACATATTGTCTTCCCAGCATAAGTCAGTAAACAGGAAAAAGAGAAAACTTTGTAGCTACAAAGGAGAAAAAAAAAATTAACTTTAATATACTATGTCCAGCACAGTATATTTGGAGTCACTCCCTCAGGAGCTTATGAAAATCCACTCTTACAGGAGAAAAGGAATTATAATAATTCACATCTATTAATATGTGCATGGAGGGGCTTTTAAGTTTTTTGGGGTTTTTTCCTTAAAGTTCAGAATTAAAGAGAAGTCTTAAAGATACCTGGGTTCTGTTTCAAGTTTTTGACATTAAATTTTTTTTTTTCATTATTGCAGTGAATGAAAATTTGGACATAAGTGTTGGAACTTGCTCATCCTAGAGTCAGCAAGAAATCTCCCACCTGGAGAAGTGCCTGCAGCTTTGGGACCCCCAGCACATGAAAGACATGGAACTGTCAGAGCAGGTCCAGAGGGGGACACAAAGATGCTCAGAGGGCTGGGGCACCTCTCCTGGGAGACTGAGAGAACAGGGCTTGTTCAGCCTGGAGAAGAAAAGGCTCCAAGGGGACATTAGAGCACCCAAAGGGGGCTGGGGAGGGATATTTTACAAGGGAATGGAGTGATAGGACAAGGGAAAGCTTTAAACTGAAGGAGGTGAGGTTTAGATTGGATATTAGGATGGAATTCTTTACTGTCAGGTTGATGCCCTGGCACAGGGTGCCCAGAGCAGCTGTGGCTGTCCCTGGATCCCTGGAAGTGTCCAAGGCCAGGCTGGATGGAGCTCTGAGCAACCTGGCATAGTCAGAGGTGTCCCTGCCCACAGCAGGGGTGGAATGGATGATCTTTAAGGCTCTTTTTAACCCAGGGTATTCTATGATTCTATTTATACCTTCTTTTCCCAATCTGTAAAACCCAGATTAGTACTCAAGGGAATATATATATTTTTACAGCAGAAGCATTCAAGCCCTCTGTGTTGGCCTTCAGAAAGTGAACTGAGCAGCTTCAGAGTGAAATGTAGGTCTGGAAATATCTCTTGTTTCACATTCCTCTTACTGAAATCTTTTAAAATATTAGTCAAAATAGATTATAAATTACTAATGTTCTTAATTAGTCTTGTAACTTCCAGATCTTCCTGCCAGGCTCAGCTTTAGACCTCATTCTGGACAAGAATGATGAACATGGGAAACAGTCAAATGTGAACAGGAAATTTGAGGTAGTCACAGATTGAAGGTGCCTGACTTGCCATATTTATAAAAAGGATGGCTTATTTCTTCCAGAAGATTATAATATATTTTATAATTGTTGTAGCAGATTTGGGTTTTTTTCTTTTTTTTTTTTTTTAATTGAAAGAAAATTACCTGTAGTCTGCAGTACCTATCAGCTGTCAGTTCAGAGAAGGAAAAACTGCCTTGTAGGATAGGAAATACTTGCCTAGAGTCTAAACGTTACAAAGAGTTAGAGGATAGTTCAGGAACTAAAAGGCTTTCATACAATCAAAGGATTAAGTTCTGTTATTTAAACAAAAGATCCATAATATAATATATATCATAATGTGTATACTTCCTTATAGAATACATTTTATGCATTATACATATGCAGGAATATAGACATGTTACAATACATCCTAAAACAGCTGCAAGATCATAATGTGACCTTTGGAAAGGGAAACTGACAGCATGAATTTATGCAGTGGAGAAAAATAAGAATGGGGAGCATGCATGTGAACAATGTCAATAAAAGAATTTGAGAAAACCAAGTGTTAGAGCAGCAGTTCATGTTTACAAGTCCATGCCAGTCATGAATATTGGAAAGACTGGAAAGGGGGATTAGGAGGAAGAAATATTCGCATTTTTGTGTGCTCCAACCTAGCACTGAAGTCATCAGTGTCCTTTAGGCTATGTGTAATATCACATTTTTCTGGTAAAACATAAAATGCAGTGGCAATGGTATAACCATCTGAAATCAGGATAGTGATTCTAGTTCTGTATTTATTACCTTAACTAATGCAAAGTCCCTCAGATTCTTGTTAAATGGCTAATTACAGATAATGCTGTATAGCACAGTCTCTTGCTCACGGGCAAATGATCCCAGCGTCATTTGGGATCGAAGGTAAAGAGGGAGCAATGGGGAAAATTAACAAAAACTTTGAGAACGACTTTTTAACTCATGAAAATAATGTTACCAAACTGTGTTCACCTGTCCCCCTTTGATCACACTGGAGTGGTAAGAGCAGAACACCAGTTTTGCCAAGACTAGGAACAGCAGCTACCTGATGACACAAACAGCTTTACCAAATCTGAGCAGTACAGAAGACAATATTTCTATTAGCTTTTTATATAATTGTCTCTTTTTTCTATCAAAATTCTATTTCTATATTTCCATTCTTTTGTTTTCTTGTGTTATGCTGATCGCAGGTATACTTGGATCTCTAAACTTCAATCACATCTATGAGGACATCACCAATTCAGGTGCTCAGCCACATGACTAGGTTGGAACAAACCAAGAACAAAAATTGCTGAGAAAGCCTCACTGAGACTGGGTTCAAGCAAAACCACCCCTTTGTTTCACTTGGCAAGCTGGCCTCCAACCCTTACTTGTCCTGCTGAGACCACACCAATTCCCAGTCCAAACATCCCTGGTGCGCATCACACAGTCTCTAGCATTAATTTAGGACCACCACCAAAGCAGCAGAGGGGAGCTGGTGTCTGTGAAAAATGACTTTTGTCAAAGAGATAATGTATCTTCTTATGAGTCCTCCTCCTACCTGGTCACCCAGGCTTCTGGGATGTTATGGGCAGCACAAACAGTGAAGCTCAGCTGGGAATTCAGGCTGATGTCTGCACATAAAGGGCTCCTAGGGATGCTGGCAAGCTGGAAATTGGCATCAAAGCTGCTGCTGTAGGCATGGATGAGACGAGAGATGGCCATGGAGAGCTCAGTCACAGCAGCCTCTACTAACACTGAGAGGAGAGGAATAAATAAAGGTTAGCAATAGGTCATTTATGAAGAACCATATTTATCCTAAACCATCAGTTATGGCTTTGAAATGCTTCCTAATAAAGTTTAATTGAAATGACATAACCTGCAACTGAAGCCAATTAGCCATCTGTGCTTCTGAAAGTGCCCTCAGCTCATTTCTGGTGTATCCTTAACAGACTTTCATTACAGAGCTTTCAAATTAAGGCAGTTTCAAATTAAGGCATTTTCAAAGTAAGCATTTTCAACTACAGCAAGTTGCTGGGTACCTCAGATATGCCATTTCAGTCTTTGAATTTCTGTGCTGGAAGGATTTTTATCAAGTAGGTATTTTGTCATTTCAGCAGATAAGTAGCTACTTACTTCAAGGAAACTGGCAAGGCAGCAGGAGAAGGGAGAAAAGGCACTGGTTAAATTTTAAGACTATAAAGCTGTTGCAACTGTCGGCAAACAATTAATAAAACATAGAAAACAGCAGCCACAATCAGAAAAACTCAGCATTCAGGTGGTCATGAGTTGGTGATAGTATTACACAAAAATGGACACAGAAATAAATAGGTACGAAATGCAGGCTATATCCAAATTTATCCACACCTCTATGTCATTCCCTCTGGTTTCAGCTCTGCAGTACTTTTTCTTTTTTTTTTTCCCTGCAATTCCTGGCTTTTATCCATCTTCCCCCTCTGTTTTTGGAGCAGCTTGGGGTTGCCTGATTGCCAGTATAAACTCAAACCCCCAGTCCTGGCAGCCTCCATCAAGTGAAGAGAGCTGTTAAGAGCACTCATTTCTCAAGCATGGGCTAGGTTGAGAGAGAAAGTGTCAGAGTATATTGCATTGTTCCAAGATCAGGCTGATTTGTCTTCCAAGAGGAAAACTCCAAATTCTCCTTTTTTTTTTTACCCTTCTAACTCACATTTTTCTACATGATCAAGAACATACTCTCACCACCTGTTAACAGTTCTTGAAATATTCCCTGGACTTGTCTGGCCACTGAAGTCAGCAGCCATCTATCAGCTAATAGAGTCTATTGAAAGAAAAAAGAAAAGAAAAAGAAGAAACAACCCAGGAATAGGAAGCCTGAGACTCCTGTTAGCATTTTATCCTGGGCATAGGTGCAGCAGTCCTGTCCAACCTCAGATACAGATACCACCATTCACTGCACTTAGCTATCCCTGTTTCCTGAAATATTTTAGAAATATTTCTAAAAAACCATTTCCTCAGTCAGGAATTTTGTTCTCCTCCTTTGATACCTTTTAACTTTAAACCAGAGACTACCCAGAACTATTGAGTCACAAAATGCATTGCAAGCAGTGCAAAGAAATTATTTCTCTTCATTTCACAATAGACAAATTTTAATTATGTAACAATAGAAATACACATAAAATTGAAATAGTTTGACATATAATGATGTTTGCTTCTGAAAATATTGACAGCAAATTATTGCATGTGTGAAGGACTGGCTAGAGTACTACACCTTGCCATGTAATCATCTTCCACATATGAAAACTGAATCATTTCAGAGATCAACAACTAAAAAACCTCAGTCCTTCTAGTCTCTCTGTCTACCATTTGGTTTTAATTGCCTTTTTTTATTTATCGTCTTTAGCATTTTCACCATTTATCATCCTTCACCACAATAGTTTTGAAAAAATCTTTGTCTCTAGTGACTTTTTTCCCTAGAACACCACTTAATTCTCATTCCCAGATGTGTGATCACTTAGCAACTGCAAACTAAATGTTTAATTTGCACTGAATTCTTTTACATTCCAGGAACTTACCCATAGTGATATACATGGAACCTTTTTAAGAGGTCCAGAAGAGGACATCAGCTGACTGTTATTTGAACCAGTATTTTATCTGAAAAGTACCATGCTATTTTTTCATTAAGGACCAACATCTCCTCGGGACATTCCTTGTTTCCAATCTGTTCAAAGTGGTTGACAGCCAAATGTAGTGTAATAGCAAACCCCTTATTTATGACAATTGGCCTGTTGAAATCAATGATTTCTGAACAGAACCTTCGCAATGTTTTCTCCAAAAGAGGGTAAAAGGCAGTTCAGAATCTCTGAAAATGTACACTTTTAACACAATCTATATTCTAGGTTTAAAGCAACATTTCAGATTTTGTCTCCAGAACAAGAAGAAATGTATTCTATCTCAGCTAAGCCATACAAAGAAAGGAATACTCTGTGAGCAAGGGATTCCCAAATAATAAAGTCAGGAGAAAATACGCAATGGAGTATTTTCCATAACAGAAAATGTACATGCGCCAGACATGGAAGAGATTAAGATGCAAGATGCCTATCACTACATCCAAGCTGCCCTGCCCATTGACATTGTTTGCAGAAAAATTATTTTCATGGTTTACCTGAGTCACAAAACTGACATCAGATGTGTAAAAGCCAGACAAGCAGACAAAACCAAACAAAATACGTTTTTCTAACAGCATGTGAGGGGTAAAGGCAGCAATGGAACAAGTGGGGAAAAATTGTTTCACTGCCAGCCAAGGGAGAAAAATGGCCTTCAGCATTATTTATCTACTTATTAGAACATACAAAACGAAGATATTTTCAGGAACAGAGTGCCACAGGTTTAAGCAAATGTCCAACTATGATCTGGTCTGCAGGTCCAGGAATTTTTTCACCATTAATTTTCTTATTCTTGCTAGCTGGCAGTTACAAAACAGTCTATGGTTCCTGTGCAAGAATCAACCCTTTTCCAACCCCCATTCTTCAGTCATTAGGAGCAGTAGCAATTAACTGAATTAGAGGGAAACATCTTTGGTAGTCTGTAAACATCCATTACTCACAAAACTTGGTCAGCATTTTCTCACTGTATTTTAATGAGCTGCTGAATAGGATATGGTAGGCTGAAATTATATCTCCCATTCATGAAGCCAGAGAACTTTTACTGCTTTTTATGCCTTTTAATAAATCTCAGCTGAGAAAGGACTGGTGCTTCACTGATTTACAAAGCACAGGCCATGGACTTCCTACAGCAGATTCAGAGTTTCCGCTACATCAAAACCTATTTTCTAGAGAGGTGTCCCAGGCATACCCAGTTTGTAAGAGACAATGAAAGGACCACATCGCAAAGTGAACTGTGACCAAGACTAATCATCTCACAACTCAAACCTTGTGATCTATTTCTGCTGTGAAATTATTTGCCATCACCTTCTCCCTGAAGGTGAGGAGAAATCTGACATGCAGAAATGAGAGGAGAACCAGGCAAGTGAACTTTAACCACAGCTGCCAGATATGCTTATTTCTGACAGATTCCTGTTCCTTGTGCAGGAAGTCTGAAGGAATAAATTGTACCTGGAGTGAGAAACAGAACAATCCTCACAATCCTGAAAAGGTTAGTGAATCATACACCTGCAAGTACTTTCAAGATTTAGTAAGGAATATAGTAGCTTATTCCTCACTGGAACCCACTTACTTTTTCCTCTCAGTCCAGTATTACAATTCCCACATTATTTTATTGCCAGATCTTCCAACAGGGCAGGCACCTTGCTGTTACTGCACCAGCAGATGATGTCAGTTCAATACATGTTGAACACTCTGACCTGTACATGTTTTCTCCAGGTAAAACATGACAAAAATCTGGTTGAACAGAATTTGGAATGAAGGCTTATGACCCTTTTGACAGATTAAAAATACTTTTGAGAAGTAGAGCTTGGTTTTTTCATTTCCAGCTTATTTTCGGAGACGAAAAAAGAAAGAGCAAGGTCCTGAATACAGTTTAGGATACACACACACAACCCCAAAACCAAAACTACAGAAAAAAGAAATCCACTTGACCTTTAAGTAAAATGCTAAGCAGCATTAATTCAGCCATTATTGTGATAAGAAAGAGGCAAAACATGAAAAGGCTGTAATGCACATGCTGATCAGGTGCAGCTTCCAAGCACAAATATTTACAGGATTGTCTTCTCCTACTAGTTGAAGAATCCTATAGATTACCCCTTGAAAGCAATTTTAATATCTCCTGCTATCCCGGTATCAAAAATGTCTCTTCTCCTACATGGTTTAAATTGCCTTGATAACTTCTGCCTATTTTTTTGTGCAGAAATGGAGGGTTCTAGTTTAAAAATTTTTCTTGATTAAAAAGCCTCTGGCTATAGGGACAATATATCAGGATGCAACACAACAACAGCTTCGAGGTGAGGAGCTGTGCTCTGGTTTGGAAACAATGCAGGAGACATGCAGAAAAATGAAACAAAATCAATAAAAATATACCTGAAGATTTTTCCATATTGTGAAACAAAGAGTTTTTCCCAAAACAAAAATGTAATGGGTTTGTGCTAAGAAAGGAAGGAAAACAATTATTTTCAGCTCCAAAGGAAACTCTAACAAAAAAAACCAAATCAAAACTTTCCCCCTTTCCTCCCCTTTTTTAAAAAATAGAAAGCCTTTCTGTTGTGAATGCTTCTATTGTCATCTAGAAACAAATATCAAATCCCAAGCACAGTTAGAGAAGCTTTACAGTCTAAATGTAATGATTACTACATTACACGTATTGTAAGCATTACATTCATGCATTCGCTCTAAAAGATAACAACTCCAGCAATTCAGTTGGCAAATATTGTTAATTCAATATCATCAGTTCCTGGTGCATACCAGACCTTCTGGATGGGTCCCAGAGAACTACTGATCAAATTCTGAAAGCTGCTTATTATGTCTGATCTGAAATCCCTGCCCTGAGCAGCAAGGCTGTAGACATGGAATAAACATTCATTCATCAGCTTCTGAGAGCCACACACAGACTCAGGTCTGCACCAGCCTGCAGCCTGTTCTCACTCTGGATTGCAGCAAACTCCAATGCTAAATCCATTAACATGAGTAATCTTTATTTTCTGTGAACACTTGATGCTGCAGAAAAATACAGATGTCTAGAAACACCTATAGTTCCTCCCATTTAACAAGAAAGAAAATATTTTAAGCACTAAAACTTGAATATAGTCTTCTAAGGACTTCACAGAGAGGAAAAAAAACATGATCCAGACTTAAGCATAATGTGGATAAGTATTGCTTTATTCACAGCAGTGGCATAAATTGTTCTACAGAGATAACACTTCAAATAGAGGCAGTGATTGAAGCACTAAATCAAGGCTAGATATTTTGAATATAGTCTTTGACTTGCTTAGTCCATGGTGAATGACTAATAATAAAGCTCCAACAATCTGTTATTAGAGAGCATGGTTAAGGCAGTTTCTAAACAAGTCTTTAAGTAAGGTTTTCATTTTAATAGTATCTTTTATCTTTGTCTCTTCTGTGGTAGAGAGAGGCTGTAATGAAGATAAACAAAACTCTTTTATGATACTTAGGGTAATAATCATCTCTTGGGGGAAAAAAGGGGAAAGGAAACAAATTATTAGTTGGAGTAACTGATTGGTGCTCTTGCTGTTAAAATTTGATCCCGTTTCCTTCAAGATAAACATAAATACATATAAGGGACAGAAAGGAACAGTGAAAATGGGAAATCCAGTCTGTCTCTTCCTTGGCTGTCAATTCTGACTTCATCTGCAAATGTGCTGCTTGAGGAAGGAAAGCACATGAGGTTTAGCTTCCCAGAGATCTGGAAAGATTTAACAGCACTGAGAAAATCTATGATTTTCCTTTAATTTTGGGTCACAGGCTTGCAGATTTTTGCACGCCTGCAATACTACACAATGGAGTAAAAAAAGGTGGGAAGCAAATGAGGTAGAAAAGGAAACACAAAGGTGAAGTTGGCAGGAGCTTACAACTCACCACTTATCTGGCTTTTACTTCTAGCTTCAGGAGGTGAAAATATAATCTGGATTCCACTCAAGGTTAGTGCTCCTAGATCAGTGGCATCATCATGAAGGTGAGCACTGGGAAGACAGGGACTAAAGACAACTTGTGATGCCCAAAAGAGAAGATGTAATACAGTTTTTCCCCACATCTGGGAGTTCAGCCCTAGGTCCCTGCAGATCAGATTTGCTCATTGCACTCACAATTGGTTTTTCTCAGACATGTTTTTAACACCAGCTTTGACATGCTAGCTCATTAGCCTAACTTCAAATATTTTACTGACCTTCAGTCTATTTATTTAATGTATTAGGTGCAGATGTAAGGCATGTAGTATGACAAAACATACATGAAATGGAAATTTGGTTACCTTGGACACATTTGAATGCAGGCTTCTCCACAGAATGACTAATGGCCTGGCAAGTTCTGACTTGCTATCAGTAAATCGCAGTTTCTAATCTTACACTACCAAAAGGATTCTGCAATTCTTATGAAATAAGGGTGTGCCAAAAGCAAACAGAGAAATCTTCACAGTTGAAGATTTCCTGGCATAAATAAAGATACAGAGAAGTAGGGAGTAAACACTGATTCCTTCACTTACTCAATAAATGAAGTTTTCCTTGAGAGAGCTGCTAATTCAATGAAGTTCAAATTTGGAAATACCTGTAATCAGAGGAGTGTTTTAAATCCATTCCAATTACATTTACTGAACAGTGTGTGGAGGAAGGTTTCTCAGGTAGGTGTTTATTAGTAACTATTGATTGTCTTTAACATGAGCAATTAGCTGCCATTGAGGGTGTTAAAAAAAAAAAAACATGGGAAAAAGGAATATATCCAAGAAAGAAGAGTCCCACAAACTGAATTTACATTCTTCTCCCTTCTGCACCTGTGTGTTCCTGGCCCTCCAGCTGCTTAGCCTCTCCTGGCATCTTGCAAATTGAATTGCTGCTTTCCTTCTCTGCTGTTCATGAAGTTGAATAACACAGAAAACAAGCCTGGCATTTGGAAACCTGCATTTGAAGCAACTGTATGTTTAAAAGACTGCTGAAATGATTGCTGCTGATTCACCTTTTTTTGCCTCTCTGAGCACACTGCAGTTGAGAAAAGCAAATAGAGGAAAAGAGCATCTCAGAGGCCATTTTTCCCTCAAACAAAATGGAGAGAAACAAATTCCTTCCACAGCCCACCCCAGTACTCAGAGAGAGCCCTTGGATGGTACCAGTGCAGCCTCCCCAGCTGCATTTGGGCAGCCACAGAGGGGTAGAGCAGCACCTGATGAGGCTGTTCCCTCCTGGAATCCACCCCTGACAGAGCAGACTCCTGCTCATGCCTTGGTCTGAGAGGTGCTGACAGTGCTGGGCACCTCTGAGCCAGTGAGGATTTTAAAAGGCAGAGTTTATAATTTTGTCCATTATTGTTAATTAATATACTCTCCTTATGACAGTCTATCATTAGGCACGACACTGTCTATACAGCAAAAGATCACAAAGAACTAAAGCTCTCAAAGGGAGGAAGTTATTTGAGTCAGGTGGAAATGTCACACAGAAAAAAATTTTCAGCCTTCCATGATGTTCATTATTTTCCCTTTTCTCTGCATAGAAAATTGTGATTAAAGAAAACTACCATGACCACCATGGCCTAAACTCAGTTCTTTCACTCTGCTGTTTATTCTCCATATTTCAATCTCCAGATTATTTTGTGGAAATGTTGTTTTATTTGCACTTTTAGATCACTTCAATTTCAACTTATCAAAATTACCTTATAATACACCTTAACATGTAAACATCTGCAATATGCACGCTCAAACAGATTAGTAAAAAAAAAATAGCAAAACATGTGTTTTATGATGATACACCTTGAATTAACATACTTTAAATAAAAAAAGCAAAACCACTCTACCTTTGCCTGGTGTTTCCACACTTTGAAGAGAATTCTATAAAGACAAAACCAGAGAGGAAAAAAATAATCAGTCACTTCAGAAAAGACTGGGTAGAAGTTGTAATGGTTGTAGGATTAGAAAATACCATAGAAAGGAGAAAGGATTTAGATTTATTTAATGTTATGATGACACAAGACGTGACTGGGATTCAGAGCACCAGAACTTGCTTCCTCTACCACCTCAGCCAAGCCACTCAGTCCTGATTTCTGACAGTATTTGGGCAAGTCAAGGTACAAGGAAGCACTCATCAAATGCACTCACACGTTCTCAGCCTCCACAGTGGTACAACAGAGAGAATTCCCTCTCCACCCCTTTGCAAGCCTTACAATCAGATGTGAAGCCCTAAGGCAGGGTCTTGGCATCTTCTCTCAAAGGTGAGGAGCAGCAAGTCTCCACTCAAGTGCCCCCCATTTCACCTGCTCCTGTGCCAGATCACTGAAAATAGCTGTGCTCTTCAAAGGCCTTTGAGCAGGCAGCTGACCAGAGGTGGCCAAAGGGAAATATTGAGTGAGGGGAGACCCCAAAGTGCTCTCCACCTTCCTCATGAGGGCAACTGACAGGCACTGATGTCTTCTCCGGGTCATCAGTGACAGGACCCAGGGGAATGACATGAAGCTGTGTCAGGGGAGGTTAAGTGGATTATCAGGAAAAGCTTTTTCACTCAGAGGCTGGTTGGACTCTGAACAGGCTCTCCAGGGAAATGGCCACAGCCCCAGGCCTGACAGAGTTCTGGAAGCATTTGGATGACACTTTAGGGCACAGGCTGTGATTCTTGTTGGGTCTTCTGCAGAGACACAAGTTGGACTTTGATGATCCTTGTGGATCCCTTTCAACTCAGCAAGCTCTATGATTATATGAGTCTGTGATCAGACTTATATCTACAAAGCAACACAAAAAAAAGCATCAAATCTTGACCAGAGAGACTGCACAGTTAATTCTGCATTTCAGTATTGCCTCTGACTTGCACTGTTTGAACCCACATCTCTGAAAGGTTTTCTGCCCTTCAAAGTCATGAATCCCTTTGCAGTGGGCTCAGAATGCTTCATGTTAATACATATGTATTCAGCATGATGCTTCCCAAAAATTACAGTGCATGCAGAGGTGGCAGAAGAAATACAATGCTGGATGTACATTCTCCCCCTGGCACCCAACTTGGAGCTGCCAGCATTTGTCTGGTGAAGATGAACAGAAGAAGTCAAATGCTTACTTGAGGGGAGAAAAGCAGCATCCAGGCTGAGAATTATGTTTGCACAATCTTCATAATGCAGTGAGACAAATGGGAACAGAGACTTTTGTTCAATTCCCTCAAATTTTGGAAAGTAAACAACCTTTTGGCACGGTACTTATAATTTCAACCTAGTATAGCACGCTTAATATATGGTGGATTAGTGCCTGTTCTGGCAGGATTTGCTCTCCTGTGACATTTTGTGAGCTGCTGTAAGAAAGGAATGGGGGAAAAAAAAGAGGAGAGATGAAAAACATTAAGTATGCATCAGGCCCAGAACCTCCCCTGAATGGATTTGAAAATCCCAGGGTTAGGTTGGTTAGAGACTGAAATAATCACATTTACAGAGAGATGCAATCTGTTAAGAAGAAACCAGCACTGGTGCCAGTTGCTTTCATAACCTCTTAACCACGGTATAGGAATGCACAGTACTGGCAGTGAGGAGGTAATAAGTACAATTTAATTAAAGACGGAAGATTGAAACTAAGTTTCTTTGTTTTGTTTGGGCTTTGGTTTTTTTTTTAACCAGAATTAAATAGAAGCACATTTAAATTTTTTTTCCAAGTAGGAGAGCACCTATGTACAGATAGGTATAAACAAACATACACTGGCAACCTATGCAATTCACACTGGAAGAAGTAAGCAGTGGTTTCCCTGAGGCTTTATGTGCACTTGTGCCAAATGGATGTGTTAAAAAATATTCCATAGAAAACCACATAATATATTACACTAAAGGATCAGGAAATCATGTGGAAAAGCAGTTAGAATGTTTTTCTGGCACCTCGTCCTTAGCAGATGTGTAATGCTGCAGTGCTTGAGATGCAACAGGTAGCCTCAAAAATGTCACTTAATTTGTGGGGCAGTTTACCTGCTCATCTGAAAAAAGCCTCTCTTCCTCCTAACAAAATATTTTGGTGCTACACTGATGAACATAATAAAAAAAATTCAAGCAATATGGTAAAATACAATAATATTGCAGCATTTAATAATTTTTTCAGTACCCAAAAGTTACACAAAAAATGACCCTACCATTCAATATGAGTTAAAATCAAAAAGAGGCTTGAGGGGGTTAGTACCAATTTTGACTACATAGGTTGCTACAGACAGGAAAGCTGGTCAGTTGTCTTAGCATAAATATTGACAAATAGAGATGCAATCTGATTTGTTACATTTCTATTCTACATGTGAAGTAGTTGCATGTGGCATTCACATTCTCCTGAAAAATCCCTTCGCCCAGGGTTTTTCTCCTGGGAAGCTGAGAGGCCTCAGAGGAAAGGAAAACAATTCTTTTCTCATTTGCTTCTCCTGTGTTTTACTTATGTGTGGAATGTGTTTGGAGACTGTTTACCCACAGGTGATTGTTTCATTGAATTCTGCTGTGAGTTGTTCTCACTCTTTGGCCAATCAGGGCCAAGCTGTGTCAGGACTCTGGAAAGAGTCACAAGTTATCATTATTATCTTTTTAGCATTCAGTAAGTATCCTTTCTGTATTATTTAGTATAGTTTAGCATTCTTTAATATAATATAGTATCATAAATTAATAAATTAGCCTTCTGACAACATGTAGTCAGATGCATCATTCCTGCCTTCATTAGGGCATTTCCCAGAAAATACAATAGTTGCATATAATATGTAATGACTATCCTCACTAAATGGGACAGTGCTCAAGTTACAAAACACGCAGGAATATATTTGACTGCTTTTATGACATTTATAGTTCAGCTGCTGAGAAAAATGAAGCTCTTTATGGAATCAAAGCCCAACCTTTTCTGGATTGCTGAGGTCTATTGACTGTCCTAGCAGTATTTCTCAAAGGAGTGAAAAGGCAGCAGCAGCAACAGCATTTGAAGTCAGTTGTTAGTCAGGTCTGTTTCAGCACAGAGGGAGTCAGAGGGACAGGGGTGGCACTCAAGGTCACAGGCAGCTTTTACAGGAAGGCTTCAAGGGACAGACAACCAGCTCAGCTAACCAAGCCTGAAAGGCAGTGTTAAGAGAGCAAAACCTCAATAACTGAAAAACTTTACAGCATGAAAGACAATCTAGGCAGTAGTTTTCAAGAGATATGTTGCTAGAATTCAAAATGCAAAGAATTCTCAGAACTTTAGGCCTGCAAGCCAAATCTCACAATTAAACACAGGATTTAATTTTAGACCTTGGAAAAGGCTTCCAAACTTTGGTGTTAGAAGAGAGAATGTAGATTTTTAGTTTAAAACAGACACATGTTAAGAAGAAGAAACTTTAAAGTTTTGGAGTTTAAGATATAGAAAAAATAAAAGTAGCTACAAAGGTAAACAAGGAGTTTAGAATGCAGCACTGTAAGTTTGTGTGTCATAACATGATTGGATAAGAAAGTTTACACTGTAACATGAGTCCATAAAACAAAATATTTAAGGACTAAGTCAAAACATAAATATCCTTGTTAGCAGTATTTTATTAGTCAATAAATCCTTAAGAAGTTTTGTAACTAAGGGTCTTGTGACTTTCTAAACAATGCAGTAAAGATGTGAACCAAACTCACCCTTCCTATGTAGGAGAAAATAAACCACATCATCTAAAAACTCAGAGGTCCTTTCTCTAACTCATTCAAAATTCCTTAAAAAATCCCCACAAGATGTGAAATAGCTTCTTACTGAATATTAGAACAGAAAAATATTTAAGACTGCTCAATCGGGACAATCTTTTCAACATTCAGACGAGGCTATTGAGAACAGTGTTGTTTTCCTCATTACAGATGAGCACACAGTATCATTATCATCATTCCTTATCAGCTGCAGCCTCTAGAGATCCCAGCCAGGACCAGCACTCTGCTGTGCTGGAGACTGCACAGAGATAAGCAGAGGTGTGCCTTGCTCTGAAAGGATAATCTGAACAGGTAAAACAGGAAAATGGAAGTGTGGATTGTTCCCTCCATGTGAGGAAGAACATGGAAATTGTTTCAGGAGAAGCTGTAAATATTGGAGACAGTCTCACATGCTGGGGAATGAGCAATAGCAAACAGGGGACATTTGGAGCAGAGATTTTTTGTTTGTTTCTTTCTACAACAAGTAGATCACATGATAATTTAATGATTTGCCTATCAATAGCCAATTCATCTCAAAAATAAAATCAGCATTTGCATTTGACAATGACTTGGAAGACAAGCAGAAGAAAATGTGAACATCCACAAAAAAACTAAGCCTTGAAAAAGATGGCATGTACTGGGTTTTATCACATTATGTAATTCTGCATGGCTTGTGGAATTTTCTGACTTAGGGGGAGTCCCACTAATAGGGTTGGTTTCTGTTGGTCCTCTATCACATTACATATGGTGAACATTTTTTTTTAGTCTTTACCCAACAGATGCCAAAAAGGAAAACAAGACAGCAAGACAGTAAAATGTAGCAAGACAGAAAAATTGACTTGATCAATCAAAATAAAAGAGTAATACCCATTCAAGTTCCAGTTTAAAAGAGAAAAATAGGACATGAACATGCATCTTTTTACCTGTGCTCTCCCCAAAGCATGGAGTTTCCAGACTGCATCAGTGATGTCCCTGGTTTCCACAGAACACAGGACACTGCAGATGGCTTTAGCTGCCTCAATCACATTATCAATATTATTCTGTTGACAGGAGAGAAATGGGGGGGGAGGAAAGAAGGAAACAGTTGGCACACAGCATTTCCCACAAATACCTGACCATAACTTTCATGGCAGTGAGTGGTAGAAAACCCTACTTTCTCAAGCAGAATTCAAACACCATGGTTTAGTCTGGCTACACTGAAATCACCACAGGCCAGTATCTTCCTAAGGATGGTGACATTTCTATTGAAGTCCAGTTATCTCCCACAAAACATATGCTGGTCAAAACCACAACAAATTTAGTATCAAGGACTGATTTTAAGGGAAAACCTTGGTTTGGGTGAACTCCAGCAGTGTGGAAGCACTGTAAAGAAGCTTCATAGGAGACCTGAAGCCAAGTGATTCATGAGCATTCTGAAATTCCGTGAATTTATCCTCACTATTGTCTCCTACCCATTTCTGCCAGAGTTGGAAAACAGCCACATTCCTCCTAAAAATAGGTACTGTGTGGGAGGCTGTGGGAGGCATAATCTGACACCTGTGGACTGAGTACTTTTGCAACCAGCTTTCTGCAAAATTATATATTTAGTTAAAACTATAGAATCTTATTGATTGTAAATTTAGATATTTTAATATTGCCAAATTTAGATATATTAATATTGCCATATGGGAAAAAAGCTTTGAGATGAAATACTTTGAGGAACTAAAAAAAAAACAAAAACGGATGCCCAAAGGAAGGAAAACACAATATGAAGTACTCTATGTTCAGGAAAATAAATAAATAAATAAAAATTCATGGGCTTTCTGCATGGTTAGATCACTTCATTAAAGCTTAAAATACATTCTCTGAACAAGCAGAAGCTCTCCTATAAATACTCTCCATGTTTCTGTACTGATAAATGTTCCCATTAGTGCACTATAGCATGTGGATGTACCCATGAAACCATTTCTCTCACTCATGCATCTTGTGCCTGAAAAATAAAAATCGTACCAAGATGAACTTTCTGTTTTCAGGCTTAAGGTCTATGCACAGACTGTACTGAGAAGGTTAACACCTGTCATTATTAGAAATAAACATAAAAATATATTGAGCTTACCAATTGCACATTACCTGCTTCGAGCAGAACTAAAGCAGAAATGAATTACATGAAATATCCACAAATATCTGGTGGTCAGATTCTTTTCAACATAAGTTGTTGAGGTTTTTTTTAGTAATTAAGGACAGAAACATCTTTTCACACTACGGGTTCTAGAGAGGAAAAGGCTGACTGTGATCTCTTGAGAATTTTACACACCCTTTTGGATTGAAGTTGATTGGGGCTCAGTGGTATGGCTTTGCTATATGTAACCCTGACAACTCCAGAACATTAGAAAAGCTGGTTTACTCTGATTTCTTGAAGAAATAAGTGAGTATATGTGTATATATACATATATATAAATTTCTATATAGAGTTTTTAATTAATATAAAATATCATTCCATTTTTGCATTTCATTTAAAGAAGTTTTAATTTAGCATTTTACTTCTTCACAAGCAGAGATGTATTATTGGAAGAAGGAATTTTGTGCCTATAAATACAGCTCTGCAGGGCAATTTCTGAGCAGTAACAAGCAGTAGACATACACAAAAGTAACCCTTAAATAGAGAAACAGCTCTCTGAATGGAGAAAAATAAAAACAAAACCTAAAACTCAAACCCACCCACAGTTTATGTATTTTTGTGCATACATATAAATGCTATTCCATAAAAAAGAATTGGTGTCCTGAGGAATGTTTAATATGCTATTCTGTTTAGAGTGAAACTATCAAAGTATTAATATTTATAGAAGCTACTTTACCATACACTTTATTTTTATGGTAGCTACTTCTAAGGAGCATATTGCAGATGAAGAAGAGTAAGCACACAAAATTATGTGATACTGAATACTACATGATGACTGCTTCCACAGTATTTCTCTGTTGGGATATTATCATGTAAAGATTTCTCATTTTTTCACGTAAAGAGTTCTTGTTTTTCATATGTAGATACATGACATGGATTTTTGTCTCAAAGAAGGGAAGATGGAGCTTCATTTCTTACAAAAATTTTACATCTTCTGAAATTCCAAAGGAACTCCAGTCAACAACTTGTAATTTTTTCCCCCTTCTACATATTTAAATAGAGCAGAATCTTAGAAGAATGTTTTGGTGTTTCAATAATTTATATGATAAAAAAAAATTTATTTCATTCTAGAACTTCTACACTCTGTATAAAAAATTTACAAAGTCCTCTCTACAGTAACAGTACATTTTGAATGGATTTCAAAATGAAGTGCATGAAAAGTGGTTGTCAGGGCAATCAAAATTGGCTGCTTCATTTTACATATTGTCTGAAAAATACATTTCAAAACTTACATTTCAACCCTAACAGCACCAATTCAATCTTTGTGCCAGATATCTTCATTATCTTTTTAAAATTTTTGTTTTATAAAGTCATTATCCATCTCTAAATTAATTTTCCATTTATTTACCATTCTTACTTATTAGATTAATAATGATAGTGGGCTTGTGCCATAAGTCAAACGTACTGGTCTCTAAAAGAATAAATTTGCAAATAAGTAGAAAAATGTGCAAAATATTAATATTTTTTTTCAACTGAGAATCTCAAGGTGTGTCTGGTTAAAACTGAATGTTTAAAGAACTTGCAGCTGAGTACAGAACTTCAGCAGTTACGTGTGCACTTAATTTACAATCCGTGAGCAGCTCCCAGTGTCTTAAATTCCAGAGTGTGCTGAAGGTGGATCATGGTGAACCAAAGAGGAGGAACAACAATGCCAGCAGGGAATGGGAATAGCTTGGAAAAGTGGGAATACCTTGGAAAAGTGACAGAATTACTCCTGTGAAGACTTGGGATAAAGGGGAGCTACAATGACCTCAATTTTCAATCTTCTTTAAGCAATCTAATTAAAAGTTAGAGAAAATAAGTAAACAAGGATTCAAAGCCCAAATAAAGGCATCTCATTTTTTGTTTTGTTTACTACATATTACTCATTACATTAGAGCTCCATCATTTTTTGAGCCACTAATTAAAGCAAATCAGACTTCATGATTCTAGGTTTGAAAAATCTCCATACACTGAGCCTCATGAAAATATCCATGATATGACCTAAATCATTAACTTCCAATCCTACTCTTTTAAGCAATTAATATGAACTTATTGAATGTCCCTGAGTAGAAAAGGCCATATTAAAAAAAAAACATCTACAGAGAAATTTAGCTCTAGACACACACATATTTGCTGGATGGTATGAATATTTGAAAAATGCACTTCCTTCCCTTTATAAAAAGTTCATGGTTTCAAGAAATTGCTTACTCAATGTAAAAATCTTTAGCAAAAACAAATTTAGGAATGCTTCATTATAGGTCTGAGGAAAATCTGCACAGTGTCAGTTGCAGAGGGTGGATTGCAAAGTCTCGTTAATGTTGAGGTTATGGCTTTTTTTGAATTTAGAATCCTCTTGCTTTAGGCCCTAAAATTTCAAGTGAATGTAAATAACTACCCTGGTGGGTCTACTTCAGTGAAGAAATATACATGTGCATTTGAGCTTGGGGACCTAACTTTTCCAAATGGTTATGACTGCATCACATTTTATACACTAAACACTTCCCTTTGAGATGATGCTTACAAAGGAAAATTCAGCAAATATCTGCACAGCATCAGACCCAGAGTTTTACTTCGTAGCCAGGCACAAAATTTGTGTTTTGCATTTTGAAAAAGCATCAAAGATTTCCACAAAATGTAAAATGTTTGTATATATCTATATTATGTATTTATAAATATTATATATTATTGATATATATGTATTCATGTATGTGTCTCTGTGTTTAGGTGGATTTCTATATATGTGTGTATATGTATAAAATTTGTATGCAAATGTATGTTTTATGGCTATTCAAAATAGAAATAATAGTGGATCAAGAATATCCAGAGAGATTAAATTCAGAACTTAAATGTAGGTGACAAAGTTCTGAAGAAAAATATTCATCTTACATTGTAACATATATTTCAAAGAAATGCATAATTTAGCATAATGAGTTATAACTCTGGAAGGGATACACTGGAATATCTTCATGCTACATCAGTGTTCTTTGATTTTTATAAGTCTTTTGTTCTTTCCAGTTTCAAACCCTAGAAAATCAGTTATCATGCCAACTTGAAAGTCAGATCAAATCAGTTATTATGCCAGCTTGGAAGTCAGATCAAATAAACATGTGGTTTCTTCCAAGGTATTACTCAATTTGTCCTTTAGACATTTGTCCTTCAAACATTGGACAGCAGAGAAGATCTCCTAAAGGAGTTCTCCTTCAAGCATGTAGCATTCAATTGGCAGACCCCAATGCTTTAAAATAAAGCTCTTGGGAATTTTGCTGGCTAAACTTAATCCTTCAAACTACCATATGCTTGCATGTATATACTAAATATGTAAACATTAGGCATGGGGGTTTGCAAAATGAGGGACAAATTTTGTAGATCCATATAACGCATTATACCTCTACTCATCCCAAGTATTCTATTGCCAACTCAAACAACTCTGGTTTTATTTACAAGTTCCTTGACACATAGAAACAGTCACCTTTGATATTTTAAATTTGTAGCACTTTCTTCCCAACCTCAGACCAGGTTTTATTAAGGGAATTTGTATCCTTTCAAGGCCAGATTAAGCAGTCTTAATTAAAAGTCTTCCTTAATTGCATCTAAAACAGATTAATAATTAGATGCCTTTCATGTAGAAGTTAATGCTTTTCTGGTGTAACAAACTGAGAACAAATACCTCATTTTGCAGCAGATATTCCACTTGACCTCCATAGTTGATAATAACAGAGATAAGGTTCTGCCTAGGAATCAGGAAAAAAAGGAAACAATATCAAGTTAATAAGAATTAGATAAAGAGAACAGGTTTGGTTTTTGTTGGGTTTTTTTTTCACATTCTAGACATTTCAAATAATTTGAGACTGATTTTATATCAGTATAAAATAAAGCCAAATGTGTAAGCAGACATCATGCAATTAAGTCTGGACTTCCCTGAGTTTTTGGTAGACTTTTGCCATATAGAATAGATGAAAAAAGTCTATTTATAGAAGATACAAGTCTCCCAAGTTAAAGAATTCCAGTAAGTGATTTACTGTTTCAAAGTTTACTGAAATTCACTTCCCATTTACTTTACTCTTTATGGTTAAGCAAGTGCTTAAATATTACCTAAAGAAGGATGGACTCAAGTACATGCTACATTCTTACAGCTAGGCTTGATGATCCTAAGGCTCTTTTCCAACTTCAGTGATTTTATGATCCAATGCCTTCTGTCTCAATCACTTCACAGACTTAAGCTGCATGGAATCAGATAAAACATTTGCCCAAGATCTGGAAAATCTCAGCACTTCCAAAGCACAGGCTAAGTCCCAAGTACAAAAGTATGTAATAAAACAGGACAGCATTGCTACATAACCCATGAAACTTAATTTGCATGCAGTTCTCAAGTTTGCATGCTCAAACTGTTTCAGCACCTGCCTTTCCATAGCATTTCCTAAGCAGTAAAATAGTAAAATTTGCTTTACTTCTGTAGAGAGCCACTCACCACTCTGTAGTTCCATGCCTCTGCCATGCTACAGAAGCTGCCAATTTGTACAGGCAGATTGCTGAGTCTTAGCAAAGCTTCACTAAATTAACTAGGATTATGAAGAGGAGCATACACCTCTCTAAACTCCTCAACTGATGCTTCAGCTGTAAATCTCACACTTTTACTACCACAGGCTCCAAGTGCTATCCCCAACAGACAACCAGATTCAGATTTTTGTTTCTAAGAAGCATTTGTGTATTTTTTTTGTTTCAAGCACTGTGAAATTCTCGTTCGTTTGTCAGCTGAACAAAACAAAAACAGGTGCCTGTGAGACCATTGCTAAGGCATCGTCCTGGCAAGCCTCCTCTGTAGGGTCAAATCATCAGGAAAGGATAAGGAAACTGTAATTCCCAGTTTTACACCTTGCCTAGCCCACTGATTAGTAAAAGGGACACATCATTACCTTGATGGCCATCAGAGGTAGTTGGGGTTTGCACACGCTTATATGAAAAAGTGGAAATTACAATTTAAATTCTTCTTTGTTGTTTGTTATGCTCTATCACCTTTTTCTTGCCTTTTAAATTCTACTCTTATATCCCTCACCAATCTTTTATTAAGGTTCTTCCTCTTCAGAAGGCTTAGAAGAAATTTCCCCCTACTCCTCCATCTCCATTGCAGTCTGGTAGCTGAAAGCCCAAAAATATTTTGATATTTTTTCAGAGCTTCAAAGCAAATAAACTATTTATAGAGCAAGTGTGTCCTCATGTATTTTAGTTGGGCCAACTTGGCAATCAGAATTTAGAATTGCAACTGCAGCCCAAAGTACAGGTTTCATGGTACATGATCAGATTTTCATTATCTATATTGCATGACAGGAAAAGGAGACTCATTGCACTGAAATAAAACACAGAATAAAGAAAAGTTAGGTGGCCTTCCCTGTGGTGATACCACAGTGCATTTCCCTGGAGATGCCAACTATTCTCTTCCTCCTACAGGTAGTTTTGCCTTTACAGCTTCTTATTTCCAATCTGCACTGGCTTTATCTAGCCAGACACTTTGTATGTGGAGCAGCTGCCTGGAAATTCCTCCTGTAATCCTGTTAAATCATAGCTAATACAAGTTGTCACTCTGCTTTGACCAAGTCTTCAGGCATAACATCTTTTTCCCAGCCTTGCCCAGCTCAAAAATATATCTGAACATATCAGCTTGCCTTGTTGTCTTTTTCCATGGAGGTGAGCATGTTTATTAGCATGGTTGGTCAAAATGCAGGTTAAAATGCAGAATAATTTCCTAAATTACAATGCGAGTTCAAAAAATTAGCATATTTTCCATCAGTTTATTTTCCCCTGGAGAATTTTTGGCATAAAGCAGCCATAATTTTGCATCATTAATAGGAAACAAACCCAGCAAGTTGTAATGATGATTGAAATACCCCTACTAATGCCATCCTGAGTCTTGTCTGCCAGATAACTAATAATACCCATATCTTATCACACAGACATACTTGTGCATCATTATAGCTGTGTATAAATAAGGCAAGCCTAACCAACCCGTGAACATTTAGTACTTTGATGTTAAGGACATTTCTTTTTTAGATTTTAGCAAGTCAATATGGTGCAAGAGTTTTGAAAAGGAAATAAGAAAAGCACAAACAGGAGAGTCAATCCTAGCTCCCAGCTGGTCTATATGGGAGGAGGATGACAAGTGCATAGCATGGACTTGCCACTTTTATTTTTCAGTCTCCTGGCAGCAGCACCTACTGTGGAGAAATGATAGGTTCCCCTTCTAAAATGCTGTTTATCACCATTCTGCCTCACTAAGCAGTGCCCAAATGCATGCCTGGGTCCAGAGGGTTGTGGTGAAGGGAATTGCTGGGAGCTGGACCCGTGTGATTGTCCTCAGAGTTGGGCCCCTCACCACAAGAAGGACATTGAGGTGCGGGAGTGTGTCCAGAGAAGGGAGCAGAGCTGAGGATGGGTCTGGAGCACAGTTCTAACAGGGAGATGGGATTGGCTTAGCCTGAAGAAAAGGGACCCACAGCAAATGATCCTGTCCTGCAGACATCCTCTGTGCTACCGAATTTCATACACTTGCCATCTGTAAAATTTATGTCTTCTACTGAGTTCTTTAGAGCAAGGACCAGAATAGAAATTTGGGCCATGCTCCTATGAAGCCAGATGGGTCCCCAGTAAGCACAAGGTACCCCCCTTAAGCGAGTCCCTACTCCTCTGTTTTCCTCCATCTTCTAAATGACAGGTGTGTCATTTAAGTTTACTTTTGATGGCAAATTACTTTATAACACAGTGATGGAAAACATTGCAAAAAGTGTCAACAGCTTCTTTACCTAAAATTAGAATTTATCTAAATAGAATACAATTAAAGATGAATGAGGAATCTATCTCATTTAGTGTTTGTCAATCACAGACTGGCTTTACCATCAGCTTTATTTTGACTGCCAAGTTAAAGGCCCATCATAGTTAATCTCCATTAAAAAAGAAGAAAAAAAAAAAAGAGGTTTAAAGATAACTGAACTGGGAAAATATAGTCCTAATAAAGAGCAAACCTACTAGTTTTACAATATTTAAGGCCAAAAAATTCTCTAACAGCAACACACATGTGAAAATTTTGACACCTTCAATCATGGGAATCTTTGGGAAAAATGAAACCTTCAATGAAAACTTCAGTAATATGAAAAGCGGACAATTGGGAAATATTACATGGATCCAAAAAACATTGATTTTTGCTAAGCAACAACTAAGGTCCAAAAAGAAAAAAGTCTGGAATATTGAACCAATTGTCTTTCTCATTGGTAGCATTCCTGTCCCCAGTAGTTCCCAGAATTGTCCTTTAGTGCAAGGAGGCTTCCCACAAATATAAACAATTAGAAACATAAATATTGCTGAATAGCAGCTTACCAGATCAGTCTCCAGGCACAAGTGTCTTCTAACAGCTCATTCACACTGAACCTTCTTTGGTCATCCCCACACTGTGGAAGAAAGGAGTATGGTGACGTATATTATTCTGATAAAAAAGAATGTATATTGGAGAAATTAACACGGTATTTTCCAAAGTCACAATGTTCTCAAATGTGTTCAGGATGTTTTGATCTGAAATTTTAATTGGTGACTATTTTATGTTACACTGGGTGGCACTATGCAGGCACCAGTGGGGCCAAGAGTGCTCAGGAAAACAAGGTAGCTGGATTTAGAAACACAGCTTTAAATTAGATTCAGTGGGCAACAGGATGTGTTTGAATCCAGGCAGGGAGAGTGGAGGCAGTGGGATATTCCAGTGCCATGCCTACATGGAAGACGTGAAGAAGGCAGACAACATGGCCTAGGGCATGCATCAATTCTCCTTTGGTTTCACACTGAGGTGGTCCAGAGGGAGAGATGATGAAGAGTTAGAGGTGAGCTGTGAGGGGAAGCATCACCCTGGGCAGCTGAGAGGCTTTGCCACTTGAAGGACTCTTCCACCAGCTTTTGTTGTGCCAGAAAATAAGAAGTTTTATTAAGTACGTCAAAGAAAACATTTTCATTGACAAAGATGGTCCCACTGGCAAATGGGTGTATAGAAAAAGCAGAGGACTTTGGGGCTTGTTTTGCCTCAGTCTTTAAGAGTACTAATAAACCTGGGGCTTCCCAGTCCTCTTAGCTGGAGGAGCACAGCTGCAGCAACAGTGACCTTCCCTTTGGGGACACTGGAATTGTAAAGGGTCAGCTGCAGCAATTGAATGTTCTCAAGTCCACAAAGCCTTGGTAGGATTCATCCCAGAGTACTAAAGGAAAGGGAAGAAGAGAAGAAAAAGGAAGACAACTCGTTTGCCAGGGATCTAGAGCAATCAGCTAGTGCAACAGCTGGATTATGACATCACCAGTTATGGATCCAATCTGACTATGGATTCACCTAGCAGCAGGTTATCATGTCACAGATGACCTAGCATAATGTGCCACCTGGGTCAGCCCAGGTTTTTCCCAGGCCTAGCACACCCAGGCAGTGTAAACACCCAGGAGGTGCACTCTCAGCAGCAGAGGGGGACTGGGAGGGGAGATTTCCCCCTGGGCAGCTGGGAGGCTTTCCCTCTTGAAGAACCTGGGCATTTCCACCATTTACTCCCAGGGTAGGCCCTGTCCTTGTGTGACACCTGGAGCTGGGAAGCTTTCCCTCTTGAAGGACTTGGACATTTCCACCATTTACTCCCAGGGTAGGCTCTGTCTCTGTTCTTGTGTGACACCCAGTGTTGGGAGGCTTTCCCTCTTAAAGGACTTGGACATTTCCATCATTCACGCCCTGGGCAGCCCCCATCCCTTTGCACATGTGACACCTGGTGCTGGGAAGCTTTCCCGCTTGAAGGACCAGGGCATTTCCATAATTTACTCCTCAGATAGGCCCTGTTCCTGTCCTTGTGTGACACCTGGAGCTGGGAAACTTTCCCTCTTGAAAGACCTGGGCATTTCCACCATTCACCCCCAGGATAGGCCCTCTCCCTTTGCTCATGTGACACCTGGTGCTGCAGCACTGGTGAGAGGGAGCAGCTCAACACCCTGAGCAAGCCCCTCCTGCCAGCCATGCTCCAGCACTGTTCCCATCTCCCCTGGCAGGACATGGCATCCACTGCCAAAGACGACACAAAGCAGAGCAGCTCTGGCAGCCAGAGCCAGGCACAGGCACAGGCAGCAGCAATGGAGGCAGCAGAGGACTCACAGTGCCCCATCTGCCTGGGCCCCATGAGGAGGCCGGCCTACGTCACCTTCTGCATGCACAAGTTCTGCCTCAGCTGCATCCAGCAGTGGGCCAGGACCAAGGACAACTGCCCCGTGTGCCGGCAGCCCATGGAGCAGCTGCTGCACTCCGTGCGAGGGGACGACGACTACAGCGAGTGCGCCGTGAGCCTGGCCGGCCGCCCGCACCGGAGCAGGGACACCGAGAGGGGCGTGCAGCCCGTCATGGCCGTCGTGCTGTGGGCAATGCAGGCGGTGCAGGAGCAGCAGCAGCGCTGGGCTGCCAGAAGCAGGCCCGTGGATGCTGAGAGTGCCCAAAGGCAGGAAGCAGCTCCAGGGCCATCCAACGCCCCTTCCCGCAGCCTCACGTGAGGTGACGCCACTGAGAGAACGTGAGCGCCCGGCTGGCCCTGGTGCTGCTCCTCTGGAACCACAAAACGGCACCGAATGACTTCGGCTTCTCAGGATCCCCTCTGGTACTTCAGCCAATAAACCACACGGTCCTTCCCAGAGCGTGCGTTTCATGACCAAAAAATGTTTCTGGGTCCACAAGGCCTTGGTGGGATTAACTGCAGACCACTAAAGAACCTAGCTGATCTCATGGCTGGATCCTCTCAGTCCTCTTCCAAAGGTCTTTACAATCTAAGAACGTCCCAGCTGACTGGAAGTTAGTCAATGTAATTTGGATTTACAGGAAGGGCACAAGGAAATGGAAGGGGACGGCAATGGAAGGGAGAGAGGACATAGTTTAGCTGGTGGGGACCTACAATTCTCATAGAGTCCAACGACCTCATCTCTTCAGGGCTGCCCATGAATGAAAAGCTCATTACCAAGGACATTGTCTGAATGCCTCTCCCTAAGGGACTGATAGACAAAAGACACCAGCCACCTTTCTGGGAACCAATTTCTTATGTTTGACCACCCAGCCTGTAAAGCATCACATGTGTGTGATTGATAGGATCCAAAGAGGATTTGATGAACTACAGCAACAGGTGAGTTTATGTAAATTATTTACTATCTGATTACATGTGGGTGATTATCTTGCTTCTGTAACACCAGTTAAACTACAAACTTAGTGGAGACTTTTATAATGAAACATATTCCATATTTCAAAATTTAGAAGGATCATTGAGAGCAGAGATGAAGTTCTCCTCAAGAGCACATTATTCCACAGAAATAAACAGTATCTGGGTATGTGCATAAGTGTCTGAGACAGCTGAAGAATCTTAAAAATCCCAAAGTTTCTGCCTACTTTGTTTTTTAAAAGCATAATTTTTGCATATTTTTAGATGAATTCTGAGGGAAGGATTTTTTTCCCCATAACCTGATTCTCATTCTGTGACTTTCCAATGCATTTTACAGCCATGTGCTTTACCTAACAGCAACAACAACACTAAATAAGAGATCAGTGTACACTACATCAGATCCTTGAATTCAGTGTGGCTCGAGCAGGTTTCAGGTTTCTTTACACCTAAAGAAATGTATAGAACTAGGTCCAGAGTGAAAGAAACACTGCAGCTCACAAGGCACTCTATAAGCCTTCTCTGATAGGTTTTTTCCTGGTCCTGATGGACTTGCTGGCTGTGAGCAGAACCTCTCCTTTCTGTACCAGTGCCCTGTCACAAGCACGCCCTGGAGCTGGGGGAAAACTCTATGCCTATGACTGATTCCACCTCAAAGGCTGCTCCTGCTCTTTGCTATTATTAGCAACATGAAATAATTTCATGGCCCAAAGCTTTCAGAGCTGTGCCTGTCCCTGTAAAGGGCTGATCAATTGAGATCCACTTTGAGATCTGAAAACGTCACCCTTCCCACTTAAACCCTAACTGGAGGGTCCACAAATTGAGATGCTGAATGTTTTCTAATGGCCTGAACTTCACAATCTCTCTAGAAAGTCACAAATATTTAAATAATTGAAAAGTCTCCACCTTCTCATCACGACAGGCCTCTGACTTCTCTCATCTGTGATTATGCTCACAAGGTTAACTCTTACATGATTATGTTTGGCAAAATATTAACACTGATATATATGAAAAAAAAGGTTTTGAACTCACAGAAAATATAATTTCCTGTCTGCTTTAGTTCAAAAATCCTTTTCTGAAAGCAAGTGAGCCTCTTGTTAGAAAGCTGTAAGTATTCTTTGCTGCCTGTTCACTATGAAGATTAATGCTTTCCTGAGATGATCAGAATGTGGGGATATCTGAAACTCTGGAAAAAATAGGATAGGCTGACCATTCCCTAGAATTTCAGAGATTGCTAAAGCTGATAAATCTCATGGCCTAAAAAAACCAAAGTCTAATTAAAGGTCACCAACTAACTGAAAGACCAAATTTTGTGTAAAGCCCCTGGTCAAATTTCTTGCTTGTAACTGCTCAGCTGAAGGAAATTTCCTGCTCTGAGTACTTCATAGTAGAGTGACAGCTCCCCATAAAAGGAAAGAAAGCAGCAAATAGGAATGTGACACAAGGATACTGAAGGAAAGGGGGAGAAAAGAAAGTTACTTACTGTTCTAGCCAAGCTGTGCTCCAGATGAGCAGCGTGGTGCAGGCGGAGCTGAATGCAGGTGCTTGCCTTGCGGAGACTTTCGTGGCTTCCCAAAGTACAGTTGCTGCAGTTTGGGGGAAAAACAACAAATAAATGGTTATCTCTGCTTGCCACTTCCTGCTTTTATCCTTGCTACCTCTCCTAAAAGCTCTAGCAGTTTAAATTCTAAGTGCAAAGAAGACTGAATAATACAAACCCAGTTCTTGGCACCTGCTTCTGTGAAAATTGATGGTTCTGGCAAGTTTTCTAGGAAAACAAATAATAATTGCTTAGTTGTATAATTCACCATTAAATTCTGAAAGAGAACAACAAGGATACAGAGAAAATATCCTTGACAAGCTGCATATGCTCCCAAACCTTGATATTTATGCATATTCTTCAAAGCCAAACAGTGCAGTGTCCTGGTTATGAATACATCTCTGCAGAATGACTTGTAGTGTCTGACACCCAACTCAAAAATCAAATATTAGCTGTGGGTGTGGAAATCACATCCATCAAGGCAGGTGACCCTTGGTTCTCAAAGAAGTCTTAAGTTTTCACCCTGTGCAGCTCACACAGAGGTGGCAAAAGCAGAGTTCATGTTTTTCTTTCTCAAATCATGTGCCAGCTAAGATCAGACTCACTCAGCTGGCATGGATCCTATTAACTAAGCTGCTGGTCAAAGATGATGCAGCAGCCCATGACAAGGGAATGCCTTAATCTTTTTTGCCTCTTTCCATTTACTGCTCTTGGCAACCTTTTCTAAATTAGAACACAGCCTTGGTTTGTCAATCTTAAAATCACTTGGAACAAAAATAATTTCATGTTTTCCCCCTTCACATCTTGTTTTAGAGAGGTGAAATAACTTAAGAAATATTTCAGGGTTGAGGCAAACATGTTTTTACATTTGAAAAAGTCCTTTGGGATTAATGAAAAAACAACGATTTTTACAAAGGTAAATTCATCACCAAAACAAGTTAGTATGCATCATCAGTTATAACTTTGGTGTGTGTCCAATTAGATTCAGGAGGCTTTATTGAGCCTTCAGCCACAGAAGCACAAAAAAGGATATTCCATATTTATACAGTTTTACAGCATGGTAAGTTGTTTCAGAACTCCCTGGGCCATGAAGGGAAGATGATTTTTTTTGGCTTGAAAAACTCTGTTTAAATGTAAACTGCATTTCTACCTAAAAGGGCTTTTGATAGAATGTCTGAATAAAAGGCGGGATTTAGTTAAAAAAATAAACAAAACCAAAATGCTCACCCCTATGAATAAATCATGGAAAATGTGACTTAGATGAGACTCCTCTCTCACATAGCAGCAGAAGTCTTCAGCAAAAAGGAATGGATAAACTTAAATGCCATTCTGCACATTTACAGGGAACTTACACATCTTGTAAATGTTCTGCTCTCACACTACACTGCAAGTAACATACAGACTCACCACTGAGGTTACAAGAGCTGTAAATGTGTATATATACAGAATTCTTTTTTTAAACAAACATATTAAACATCACAAGGGACAAACTCATTTCCATCTGACAAAAATACCTGAAGCAAGGATCACCTTTGATAGCACCTCCATGCAGCTGTAAAATTTCTGGATTTCAATAGCAGAAAGTACAAATGTAAGAGTGGGAGGAGTGAACACCAACACAGTGAAATACCCATACTGGTGCAAAGCATATCCCTGTTATAGCTAAACCCTTCTCAAATCCCTTTTCAAAGTCCAAGTGGCCAATTCCAATTTCCATGTACCAATGCATGTGTTCTCTTCTGCTCCTTCTCATCTCATCTCTGTGTTCTTCCTACCCACAGCTTTCCTGAACATTCTTCCTCTCCTCATTTCACCCAATCATGTTTGCCTCCTCACTGAAATGATGAACTTTTTATCATTATCCCCTCTGGTTGAGGAACACATTCAGTGCAGTGCAAGCTGCAGATGGTACTCTGGGTGGTGGGAAAGGGCAGCAGACCATAAACAGCACAGACTCTTTTCACAAAAAGGCCAGAGAGCCCTTAATTGGTCAGACTAGGAAGTTTCCTTTACATTTTAGAACTGCCCCAACAGATATTTTTTACTTAATGTCTCACTATTATTCCTGCTCTTTTCATTCTGCCTCACCTCCAGCCGGTGGACAGGCATAGTAACAAGAATATTACAGAGACATCCATGAGCCCTGAGTCACCTTTTCCTGATTCCTCCAGGATACAGATTCCTGTTGCAATGCCAGTGACAGGAACTGGTACAGCTAGACAAATACAGAGGAGCTGTACCCTCCTATGAAGTAACAATCTTGAACCACAGATATACAAAAGCTGTCTTTTCCAAGTATAATTTTTCCATGCCACCATGCTTCCAGGCAAAACAAGCTACAGCAAGAGAAACTTAATTTTGTTGTTATAACTGCTTTTACATTAGTGGTTTGTGTTAGCTTCTGCTGTGTGAAGCAGATACTATCCATCAGCAAAGCCTTTATTGACAAAGCAAGGCTGCCTGAAACACTGCAAGCAGAAGTGGCCATGAAGTTGACTTAATGAATGGATTTAATTTGCACAAATACAAGGAGAAAAGTTTTGACAGCTATTGTTACACAAGGGACTAGACAAAATGGATTAATGCCTCAACAAAATAATGTGGAAACCCAGTGTAGATGAAAAGTGTGCTACAAGAAACAGAAGTGTAGCTTTGCCACAGATTGACAAAGTAGCTTTTAGCTGCACCCCAGGCAGATTTGCTACCGTACCAGTACTACTGAGATAAAAATGATAGATCCTCTTTGGAGGATAACATGATTATTACTAACTGGTTTATACCACTCTGAGCTCTGTAAAGGAAACAAAAATGGAAGTTCTACAACCTTGTTAACTCAACATTTCTCCCCTTATATTTTGCTGAAATTACATGGAGAGCACAGCTCTGATGAGAATGCCATGAAGAGAAATGCAATCTTTGTCTTTAGGAGACATGGTAATGACTGGTCCAAGTGACTTCCCTGTGGTCTCACAAAATATCTAAATATAAGAAAGGGAAAATCCCCATCATTTGAAACTCCATCACTGCTTGTTTCCTCACAGCAAGGTTCACTGATATGCCATAAGCTCCAAATCTTAATACAGTTCAAACAGACTATTTTTTTAAAGTAACTCAGCTAGTAGCATCTCTGAATAAGAAACTTAATCTGCAGTGACAAGAGAAAATTAGGTTTACTTTTCACAAAGAACATATTCATCCAAAGGTGCTTGCTTCTTATGATTTCAATCTGTATGATTATGTCTATGTCAGTCTATAATTAATAGCTTAAACTTCACTTTGAGTGAAAACCAATTTTTATTTAGGTTTCAATTCCCAGAGAACAGAATTATTAAGACAAAAAAAGTCATCAATAAGGTCACAGGCAAGCATGTTAGAAGAAAAGATAAGCATTTAGATTTTTCAGTTCCATTCCCCTGCTCACTGTGGTGGCTGAACTGCAAAGCAATAAGGTAGCTGTGCAAATTATACCATGTGAGGGAGTGGATGGAACTTTAAATGCTCTGACACCTTAGAATAAAAGGATGTTTAGAAATAAATCTTATCAGTATTTTTGTATACATTCCTTTGGTGATCTACATTACTGCAACCTATTGCTAGTACACATATCAATAAAATAATAAAGACTTTTTTTTTAAACATCCACATTCTTAGATCCACATTTTAAAGCATCCACATTCTCTCATATGTTTTGTTAGGTATTTCAGGATGACCTGAGATTATGGCCTGATTTCGTAAAAATAGAGGATTAATTGCTGACAGATGAGAAGGGTTGGTTTTGGCTAGCTGATGGCATTAATAGCCAAGAGTAGACACAAGGTGCTTAAGCACAATTAAATTTACTTTTATATAATATTTTTCATGAAAAGCATCATAAAATCATATTTAGGGGCATCCATTTTAAATCCAATGAGAGACAGGGAAGTGTGAGAGCAAGATTTAAAGGTGGATCTGGGTTTGTTTGATGGGATGAAAAAGAAAACCAGCAGGTTTCAACAAAGCCGGGTTTTCCACAGTAAAAAGACCAGAAAACAAAAGAGTTTCCAAATCAGAATTCTACAGATGGCTCTGTTAATAACAGACTGGCCTGCAGTCTATATGCTACCTTCTGATATCTTTAAAATATAGGTATTTACATCTGATGCTCTAGTCATGAGTCAAGCAGGATGTGAGTCCAAGGGTCTCTGTGTAGGAAGGGAGTGATGGAGGGTGACATCTGCTGCTGCTGGGTGCAATGGTCATTAGCACAGAGGTGGTTTTCCTTCCCCCTCTCATTCAAAGCTAAATGCATTCTAAAAATCATCAAGTCTTTCAGGTGCTTCTGCAGGAGGTGGGGTGAAGTGCTCATTAATACAATCCAACATAACAGGAAATGAAAGCTTTTGACAAACCTTGACAAAGCTGTCTGCTTCACTAAAGCACTCTGCTCTGAGAACAATTCATCAAATCACCTTTTTGGCTTCACTTTAGGTGTTTTTTTCTGGATTACAGTACAGCAGGAGCAGCAGAATATTTATTCCCTTTGCTGTGTTAGAACTTTAGGAATTTCTACTGGAATTCATCCGTGAATTGACTCCAAATACTTTTCTGGGGAAGAACTGTGCACAAGGGCATCAAATCACTCTGTTAATAACGTTGGGAGGAAACCAATTTGCACTTGAAGATAGCCCACACACAGGAAAAATTTCACCCTGAGGCAACTCCTCAGGCCCTGTTAAACTACCCAAGGGATCCTTAGGGTCTGGGGTTTCACAGATCCAGGGCTCCCCTGAAGAGGGAGAAGAAAGGGAGCTGAATTTAACAGCACAATCTAGAATTACAAGCTGCTGAAGTTTTAGTGCAGCTCAGAGCTTGGTGAATGACAGTGGAGGAGCAAAGTAAGAAAGCTGAGAACATTACTGACGTTGTTTCACTGCTAATGAGACGTGCAGAGATTCTAAAAGTGCAGGAATTTAGAGTCTGCTATTGATGCATTCTCCCCAACAATGAAAACAAAACTCTTCAGCACATACTGCACTGAGCTCACCCTCAATACAATGGCACATTATTACCATTTTTTAGCAATTTATTTGAAATCAGAAGAGCATCTTGGGAGAAAAAATATAAATCCCTGGTCTTCTTCTGTAACTAACAGATCTGCATGACCTGGCTCTCTGCTTGGTGCTTCTGGTGTTCTAATGATTTACACTTTGCTCTTCCAGCACCTGCTTTACCAAGGTTGGAATGAGGGAAGAGTGGGCTCAGAAATGTTGAAGAGGCAATCCTGGCATCTTTAGTTGCCAGATGTAATTCACCGTGAACATATGAGCATTTGGCCTGTGTAAGGGTAGAAGTGCTCCAGATGGATACAGAGCAAAGCTAGCTCACACAGTGTGACACTTGCTCTCACAACTGTGTGGCTTTCATTAATCAAACTGACTTGCTCTAGGCTACTTCAGGTAATTTTTACACTCTACTGTAAATATGACTGCTTCTAGAATCTTCCCTTTCAATTACAGCCACATACTATTTTGTCTAACACTCTTTACACCTCTAACAGATGAGCTGTGATTCCTGCAGTGCCAGTACCACAGAACTCTGCCAGCCCTTCTGCTGAGAGCCAGTGTCCACAAAGCCCTGCTGATGAGTGCCTCCACTTCAGCTGCTTCAACACAGAACCTGCTCACTTTTGGCTGACACCTGAATTTAGGCTGCCACAGGGCAAAAAACTACTAGCTCAATCCAACCAACGTGCTTTCAACCACCACAAGAGCTTACCTGAATCAGAGCATTTGTTTCCCCACTCGTAAACCATTTGCATTCAGAAAGACCTGCTTGTATGTTTAATGTGTTTTTATCTTGCATTCAGCACCACAGTGCTGACTTCATTTCTTTTGTTACTACTGCAACTGGATATGAAGAAAAATCACCTCCTCTGCAGCTGCATAATACTGCATAAATAAATAATTCATAATATCACTCTTGGGTGATTTCCCCCTTAGAGGACTTGCTTCTAACACCCCTATGAGTTAGTGGAGGTAGCAGCATCCTTGTATCACAGATGAGAATTACCAGAAGGACAACAGAGTCAAACAAACAGAAGCTGCACAAAGCTTGCATAAAAGAGGATTTGAATCCTTGCACTGGGGCACACCATCCTCTCTGCAGAACACAAGCAGCATGTGTTTCAGGAGTTTCAGAAACTACACATATATCATGGTCACCGCTAGAAACGAAGGGGTGGGATTATTTTCAGGCCAAGAACGATTCATTGCTCAGATAAACATCACTCTCAGAGGCTGAGAGATTTTAGAGGAGCAAGCAGTCAGCAATAGCTTAAAGTAGTCACAAGTTCCTTCATTACAAGGCAGTACAGAACTTTCTAAACCCAACAGACAGTTGCCACAGAATTCGTTTTGCTTTTTTAACCTATCACCTTAACTTCTGCTGCATTGTGGATACTTTTGTCCAATGGCTTCTGTCTCACATAAACACAAATGCTTCTATTACAACTTCTAAATTCTTAGCTACTCTATATAATCACATCCCTACATTATAAACTCTTCACCATTTTATCAATGCAATTTCTTACTTACTTAAGGTATATTCTCACAACTATAGAAATATAAGTTTATGATTTTTCTGCTTAATATCTGTATATTGTATTTTTATAGATCCAATCTGCATTTTGTATTTTTACATCAATCTAAGCTTCTTCTAAGGCTGCAGATCAAACCCTACCATGTCTGTGGTCTATGGAAGTTTCTGTTTTTCTCTTTGTTACACACGTGGAGTGTTTGGAACCTGACACCCCAGCTCTCCCGGTGGCTCTGTTGACATGGCTGGTGGCTTAATGAGGTACTTACTTTTGTAAGAATTCATCAGCCCCACAAACACTCAGAAGGCATTCCTCCCGGGCTGGGTATTGATTTGTGCACCTGAGGATCTCCACAATTAAGTCGTGAGTGATACAGCCAGCTGTAAATAAAGATAGCAAGGAAAATTAATAGTAGCTTGCTGGAGAATTGCAGCTACATACTTGAGCAGAGAAAATAAGGATTTTTTTCCTGTAATTCCTAACAACTGCTGCAGACTAGCTCCATCAAGAGGAATTAGATCAAGACACACTTGATTTTATTTGTTTTTTTAAAATTTTTCTTCAAATATTCTACCTGACATGGAATCTATGTCCATTTAGAGGAAATGAGCAATTTGCTGGGCAGCTGGACAGAAGAAGAGAAGAGCAATATTCCCAGGAGGAATGGAAGAGACAAATGGCATTCTTTTTGCTTTTTCATTTTCCTGATGAACATTTTGGTACATTTCCAATGATGCAAAAGTTGACTCTGTAGCCACTTATGATACAAAAAAAGCTCCAGAATGTTATTTGGTATTTTTTTTTCTATGCACACCCTTTTAGCCATAAAAGAGAAGAAAATTAATATTCTAATGTATTTTAAATCTGCAAAATATTATATTATTTAATACATGTGCAAAACAGGTATTAAAGACATATTTAATATTAAAAATATTACATAATTTAGCCTTATAATAGTATAAAAATATACATAATCCCTATAAATTAGGAAGTACTATGTCAGTTTGTACAACCTGCTGTTCAGAAACACTTTAGAATTTTGAGAATTTTCTCCAGTTCCTCTTCAGTTTTTAAGCCATTTTCCACACTTGCCAATATGCTTTGTCTCTTCATTTTAGAAGAATTGATCACAAATGGAAAAGAATAGCTGCATAATCTAGAAACAGGTCTGATAAATTTGGTTTTCCATTGAAGGGGATAGGAAAACTTCAGGGAACAGGTGGCATTCCCAGGGGAGGGGGTTATGACATTAACAAAGCTGAATTAAAACAGAGTAGGTCACCAGAGCTTGCTTTTTTGCTTTGGTTTGGTTTTCCCCTGAGAAAAACAAATGTATAAATGGATTCAAAAGCTCCTTCTGAAAATATTAATTTTGTTTGCAAAATGTTTGGTTTTCCTTAAAAAGACACTTTGATTACATGTTTTTCTACTGATTTTACCAGTCTAAATCATTTAAACTTCTGACAACTTGCCATTGTAAGCAACTTAGCAGGGCTCACTGGCTGAATTTACACAGTCCAGAAAATAAAGAGTGGCAGAAAATCTTGAATTAAAATTGTAAGATATACTTTTTTTAGGTCACTCATTGGGAAAAAAAATCCAAAACTTGCTAGTATCACTCATTTCCACTCTGTAGATCCATCTTCCTTTCCTTACTCTGCCAAAAGTTCATGCCTAACTCAACAATACTTTACATTACATGGGCCAAAAAAAAAGTAATTCTACTTCAACCTCACTGCTTGCCTGGTCTAAACAAGTTCAGGATAATTAATACTCAGCCTGTTACAGTCAAATAATTCCTTGAAAAGTAAAGAAATTATTAATTAAAAAGAAAAACAAAAAAATGACTCTGACTTAATAAAGCAGCATAAAAAGAGAGGGGGAGAAAAAAATTAATTTCTTTTATTTTGCACATGTTGCAGAAATAAAAATTACTAGAGTTGGAATTAAAGATTCTGCCGTTAATCACAGATACAGGATGCACAGGAGCTCATTGTCATTAATGACAGAATCATTTAGGTTGGGAAGAACCTCTTCCCTGCAAAGCTGGGCCAAGACTGAATTCAGACCACCTTGTTCAAGGTTTTGTCTTGTAAAACCTTAAAAATTTCCAAGCCTGGAGACTCCACAAACTTCAGGGGCAAACTCTTCTAATTCTTAATTATTCTCCTTGATTCTCTCCACCTCCTTGGAATTTCTCCTTTCATTTGATGCCTGATGTGCTTCCCCTGTACATAGCCACTTACCATGTTGTGTAAGAAGTAGAGGATGTGGTGAAAAATCTGTCCAAATGCTGAGTCTGAATTTTGTTCCACCAAGGATATGCTCTGGGAAGCTTGTTGTGATACTCCAGATTTTCCCAGTATTTGTCTTCAAATCAAAAGCAGGATAGGCATTTCTGAGTCTGGGAAAAACATGCGAAGAAACTATTTCTAAAGAGGTGTGCATTTTTGGCCTCTTCTAAGAGCAAAACAAAGAATTCTGCAAGATATATATGGAGATACATAGAGAGCTGTTTTGTTGGAAATAAAAGTCTGTGGAGAGAAATGGTAGCAATACAAATTCTGGTTTTGTGCATTAGTGAGATAACTACATATCAGCACACATAGCTACATCTGTTATTTCAGGGAAACCAGCAGCAAAATCTTCATGAATTTGACAGAACCACTGCTGAGCTTGACCTCAGTGAAACCAAAAGGAGTTTAAACAGAGACTTCAGTGTACACTGAGCTCAGTAGAAGTGATAGCGCTCAAATATGTACTTAAATAACAGAGTTTGAACACAGAACTAGCCAGGAGCACACGCACAGACAGCTGCAACTAGGACATCTGGTCAAACTGAGTGCAGGAACATGCTTCCTGTGCAAAACCTTAAGGAGTATCTATTTCCACAAGTCTCTGAAATCCTCATCACTAAAACCCCGGGTATTTATGTAAAAGTCTGGGGAGCGCAGTAGCAGTTGCAGTCACTGATTCCCTCTGACACAACATTAACTATAAAATATATTGCCCCTTGTCCTTCCTTCTATTACCATAGACTGGCAGAAATTAATTCCTCATGAGGTCCTATTTCCTAATGAACACTGGTCATGGGTATTATGCCCATCATCTGGGATTAAATTTGCTTTTTAAGCAAATACACTCTGCAGCTGCAGGTAGGGGTACACGCTGTACCAGCTGAAGCTTTACATTTCACTAATTAGCCTGAATATTTAGCAGCTAAACCCAAATATCCTGTACTAAGCATTCTGTATTCTCTTCTGCTTGCCCAAGTCTCTTAAACAACTATGTGAACTACTCTTTGTGCCCTGCATTTCTACAGAATGAGAAGCAAAAAAGAAAAACAAAACAAGGAAAAACAAAACAAGGAAAAACAAAACAAGGAAAAACAAAACAAGGAAAAAGGCGGGATGAAGAGGGGGGGAAAGGGGATAAAAGGAAAATAGGGGAAAAGAAAAAGGAAAATAAAGGAAAAAATAGGAAAAATATTAAAAGGGAAAAAAAAGGAAAAAAAAGAAAAGAAAATTTAAAAAAGGAAAAAGGGAAAAAAAGAAAAAAGTGAGTAAAAGGGAAAAAAACAAAAAGAAGAAAATGGGGGTAAAGGGGAAAAAGGGGGGGAAAAGGGGGGAAAGGGGGGGGAGGGAAAGGCCTAGGCTGCCAAATTTAAGTAACCCAGCAAATCAGCCAATTCTTATAATGAAAAGCCAGGGGCTTGATGTTTCAGTGGGGTGGGAGGAAATGAGGCTTGACAAGAGAACCTCCAGTACAAGGCAGATTTATCCTCATGGTTAGAAAGCTTTACAGCTTGTAGAGGCTGTTTGGGTGACCTGTGTAGTTGGTGTCAGTCTCTTTTCTTTGTGCACAAGGTACAGCTTTTCCCCTGTAACATGTTTCTGCAAGAAAGCCCAGGACTGAATAAAGCTGGAAACTTCACTAGCCTTTATCCAGCCTCAAATTACCAGGCTATGTACACACACAGGGCATGAATCACCTCCTCAACTCGCTGGCAGTCATTCCAAAACTAAGCAAACATCATCTCCTTCCCTGCCCACACACTGCTAATATTTTAGCAAAATGTGGGAACACAAATTTGCTTTTCAGATAAAAACCCATTCAGTTTCCAAAAGTGTTGTTCATTTATGGCCATCTACTATACTCATGTGATCAAAGGGCTTCTGGCCTGAGCATGCAAGCAAAACACTGCAAAACTTTGACAGTTTGGGTATTCCAAAGCAGAACAGATGTGTTATACAAACATTACACAAATAAAATCTTGTGCTACTTGCTTTCTGTGCTGCCACAACTCAGTGTGTGCAGAAAGTACTGACATTTATAGGGATTTGCTATTCCACAGCATTTCATAACATGATGTTTTTCTCTACAGTGCAAAGCACATCCTTAAAGACATTGAGAAGTGGAGGAACTCTGCATTTTGCAGCACTGGACTCTGAGACTGCCAGCTCGGTCTGAAAGTGGCTTTAGGATGTGTTCTGAAGCCACCCAGGGATAAGGGTTCGCTACAGCTCTGCTCACAGTGCTACAAGTCACCTGAGAAAGGGCTTTGGAACAGTGAATTACAGTCCTGTACAACCAAATGCTTCAATTACAGACTGCTACCTGTGCAACTATCACCTAGAGAAAAACTCAATGGGTTTCTAGCTGATCTACAAGCTGGACCTGCAAGAATGCATGACATAGAGTCTGAATTATACATCCTGCCTCGGCCAGCAACTGAAATTCAATGGGCACTGGGAGGATGCTCATTTGGCAAGACTGAATATGTAAGGTATTTGAAAATTTATGACATTTTTCAGTCTTTTGGTTGCAGTGACATTTTGTCCTTAAAGTTTCTCTACTTATTTAATAGAAGAAAAACAAAAGCTGATCTTGTTTTCTTTTTAAGAGTATTTGCTTGTGACACACACAAAACAAGAACCACTTTGTATTTATCTTTTTAGCCCAGTAAATACACTCATCTACTCAAAAATCAATATAAAGTTTTTCCTAGACTTAGAATGTTTAGACATTAAAAAAATCTGAATAGCTGGGAGGAAAGCAGTCATGTGGAATGTGCCTTCATGCACCTCATGGCAGAACTGGGTTGGGTTCAGGCTGATGAACTGTGGAAAAGCAAACTGAGACATGTGACTGAGTATGTTTTGAAGCTGACCACCTCATTTGAATATATAATATACTCCTCTTAATTTCATTGCAACGTCAAACTGGGGTTTTTGGTTGGGTTGTTTTGGGTTTTTTTCTTTTAAGAGAAGCAGCCTTGGCTGACCTTGAATAAAATCAATTCATTAAAGTCTAATAAGAAAATCAGGATTCCATTTTCCAGCTACTTTCCAGGGGGGAAAAGCATGCATTTGTGCTAACAACTTGACACTGTGATCAGTGAATATCTACAAAAGAAAAATCAATCTGCACAGATGGCCTAAATACTTGTAAATTTTTGTGTGCTTGGATTTCAACACAATTCATTTTTCTGCAGAAGATTAAGAAAGTAAAAAATGTTCTATGCCATTAAGTCAGGCTATTAAGTGTAATGGTAAAATATAATTAAAGTAGGTTTTGTCACTTGCTAAGTCTCACTTTTCATCATGACAGTATGTGGCAATTCTGTTCTCAATCAGTTCCTCCAGCTCTTATTCTCCTGCTCAGAATTGCACAGGCACTAATAATGTCCAAAACAATGACAGAAAAAGGATGGGAAATTTCACACACTATAAGCCATCAACAGTGAAGAGTTAAATGTACTGATCACAAATAAAGCAGACAGAAGATTAAATATATTTTGAATTAATGTTCCTTTGCGGTTTTTAATGTTTAAACCAAAATTAGAAGTGTTTCCTTATTTAAGCAGATACTGGAATTGCAGCATTGTTCAGGACTGCAGGGTGTGGCTGGCCGACCTGAGGCGGATGCCAGGTGCCCACCAAGCTGCTCCACCACTGCCTTCCTCTTCAGAGCAGGGACGGGGGGAGAAAAAATGGGAAAAAACTCTACTGGGTCAAGATAAAGACAGCTTCACAAAACCAAAGGCAAAGGACACACATGAAATTAAAGGAAGACAAAATATTCTCAGCTTCCAGTCAGCAGGCAATTTCCAGCCTCTTCTCAGGAAGAAAGACTTCAGAAAAAAATGCCATAATAATGAGCAGTGCTCAGCAGTAGCCAACACACTGGTGTGCTACCACACCTTTCTAGCTGCCAATACACAGCCCAGCCCTGTGAGGGGATAATTACCTCCATCTCAGTCACCCCAAAACACAGGGATAACCAATCCCATTAATGTATGTGAAATGTGATAGTTGGCTGAAAAAAGCCTTTTCATTACTTACTTCTCCACTGCATTGCAGAAACCAACTGTGTTTTCATTACTTCCTTGATCTGCTTCAATCAGCTGGATAGACCAAGGTGCAGCCTAAAAACACCAACAAGACCCCAGAAGAAACAGAGCGGAGTTACTTAGGTATGAGAAGAACAAAGACCATAAGGCTAATCTTGAATTTGGTTCCATGAGAGCCTATCACCCCTCCCCTGACTTGATGGAGTTCCGAATAAACACAAATGACCCCATTTTGACTGCACTCTAAATGCTTTCAGAAGTTACAAAGCATCAGCTGCCCAGGATAAAAACTGTTTTTCCCCTCCATGCAGAACATGAGGAATTTCAGACTAAGCTTTCACGATTCACCTGGTATCAAGGCACAGATACCTCCAAAAGCAGATATTTCAGTTACAAAAGGGAGGAGGACAAACTGAAGTTTGTGCTTCAGTGTGTTTTAATCCTTATTTTCGCTCTTTCTGCCCTGTCAGGAAGCTCAGCATTCCCTCAAACTCCATAAAGCTGTCAGGTAAGTCCCTAAGACAGATAAGAGGGAACCAGTGGGCTCTACTGAGCATGAAAAATCCCCCCATACTTTGTGTGAACTTGGAGAGCAGAGGTCTGAGCCACTGCTTTGGGTCAAGCATCCCTTTGTCTGTTTGCCTGAAGTACTCTTCAGCCAGAATATCACCTCTAGGAAGGAACTTAATGCTATTACATCTGCAAGCCTTTCTGGTCTTGTAGGTACAGACATAACAAGGCTTAACTGTGTAAGAGCTTTTAAACCCCTTCAGAAAGAGAAAAGGAAAGAGAGACAAAAGGTTTATTTTATAATTTTAAAAGTGATTTATATAAAAGTGTGCAAATTTATTAAAAAATAACTAATAAACAGAATTAAGATTCTTTTTGTCTGGATAAGGAAGATCAATATGCATTAGAAGATACAAGGTGGAAAATTTTAGTTATAATTTAAAAGATGGGATGATTATAAAAGATGAGAGATCTGCTGGGAGCTGGCTGGTGGGGAAATCACAACAGCAGAACTGAAAGCTCATAAGTCAGAAACCTCATGAGGATACAGTGAGACCCCAAACTGATGGCATGTAGTATTTTCATTATCCACAGTACCACACAAAGCACTAGGAGAGTGCACATGAAATTTAAAGATACTAAAGGGGCATCATCAGTAGAGGGGAAAATTGAAATTGTCAGTAGGAAAAAAAAATGGATAATCCTGAGGGTGTAAATAAGAGAGTAAAATTAAATTTAGCAATCTGAATCAGTGGTCCTTCATTCCCTGGTTCCCAGAACTGCTGAGAAAGGTCCTTCAAAATCCAACACCTCCACTGGTTCATTGTTTCCATTTTCATAAGGCACATACTTTTCAATTCACCTCATCAGACAGTAATAAGAATTTCTGGAGGATGTTCACTATTTAGAAATTATGAGTGATTTGGTGAAAGCCTCCAAAAATTACCTATGCATTAGAAAACCCCACAAAACAAACAAAGGCTCCTTTTTCTCCTGCAGCTCTGTCCTTGCAGAGCAGGTAGAGTGCCCTGGAAAAAGTACATGGAAAAAGAGGAACAGACACTGAGTGAAAAGCTAAGAAAATTAGCCCACAGGTTAGAAAAGGTGAGGCTGGCACATGACATTAAATGGAACTGAAGGTATTAAAAGAGCAAAACCACAACTGCAAACTAAGGAAGCACAGAGAGGAATTGAGCAAGAAGGGGAACAAGACTTGGAATACATGATTTGCCACAAGGACATGGGCATGAATCCTCAAATCCTCATGGCCTGAAGAAGAGTATGATTAAATAATTACTCAAGGATGGAAAAGAGGAACCCAAAGCTGCAATCTGGATTCTCCCCTGCAGACACAGGAGTGGCACAGGAGCCCTCTGCCTTTTTGCACCTTTGCTGGCAGCATCACTGACTGATTCCTAATGGCAAACAAGAATCCTGTGAGGCAGTGAGAGTCTATATGTCTGGAAAATACCATTTTCTAATGGTATCATTTCTAAAATACTAAGTCACTCAAAGTCATTCTGGTGGCAGAGGTATATAAAGGAGATAAATAGCTCCAGCTCCAGGGATGAGAGATTTATTTTGGTCATGTCTTCTTTCCGCATGTCCAGAAACTTCACTTTCTTCTTCTTGCATATAAAGTTAAAATGTTAATTAATAGAATGTTAATTACATGATTACATTATTTCACATTATTTTTCAACAGGACTTGAGTCTCCATGCACTGCAAATATGTCAAAGAGAGCGGGAAATGAGATGGAACTCCATATCAGGAGAAGTAATGACAACAGGGATGAAGCAACTGAATGCACCCCTTGATGAAATTTTTTTTCATCCCTAGACTTCTCACATTATGCTAATCAAGTCACCTAAATCATCCTTCCAAATATGAACAATAATAGTGTATTTCTCATTTCTGGAGCACTCAAAAAAAATGATGTTTGGTCTGATGATGGCACTTGGTTGAAGATGAGTCTTGTTAGTTACTCTGAAAACATCCGAATCTAAAATTAGATCCTAAATGTCATAGAGTAGCTAAGTATATCAGATACCTTTTAAGTTTTATTTCAGTTTTCTTTCTAATATGGAAAAAATTAACATCTCTTTTCATTGGGATGTTATAAAGATAATTACTTTTATTATTTTTGAACATCTGACCTGTAATGAAAAGGCCAGAAAAAAATAAGGTTTCCTTTATCACATTGCACATATTTTGATTAGCAGACATTAAATAAAGCCTAGGGCCATATAACTGCATCCTAGAGCCATGGATCAGAATACCAGTATGATTTCAGCAGGGTGCATATTTCATCTTGCCTACCTATGACCCATCTCAGTTCTCATTTCCATGTCTCAGCATCCTCTGTATTTCACTCTGAAGTGTTGGCTCTCCCTTCTACTACTTGGTTGCATTGTTTACTTGCTCTGGACCTCACAAACCCAACCTGTTCTCATTCTTTTGCTGTCGTGTCCCACTATTCCAACCCTTCTGATTGTCTTACTCAGCATCAGGTCTGTCACCCCACAGCACGTTTCTTTTCCAGAACTCCCAGCCCAGCAGCAGTAACTGCTGTACAGCCTTTTTTTGCTCCTCCCTCTCTCTAAGAGTCCCTTTCACTCTTATTTTCCTTTATCATCTCAAGGTTCAGCTGCCAGCCCCTTGCCTTGGCTGTTTCTATCCTGACATGGCTTTTTCTCCCTGAAGGAATTCCTGTGACCACAGTGAATTTTATGCTACAAATCAATTCACTCCTCTCTCCCATTTCTTCCTCTTGGAGCTAAACAGCTCAAATACTTTCCTGACTTAATCAAATCCTCCCACACATTCGATTGTAGCTGCCCTTGACTCACTCAGCTCTTCTCTTCCCTCCCCTATAATTCTCTCCTCCTCTGTCACAGAAGTGTTTGTGCCTGTTCTTAAATGTGTGTGTGTGCTTCCTCTAGCACCTCTTCTTCCCATCCCATCATTTAATCTCCTCCTGCTCATTTGTATCCCACTATTTTCTGCTTTTCTCCTGAGAAGGCTTGTTCTTTTCATCACCATGTCAGCATGCTTTTCCTATCATGAGTAAAAAAACACAACAGCCTTTTGTCTCTCCACCTATTCTTCCCCTCCTCTTCTGTATTCATCACTGAAATTCTAAAATGCAGTGCACAGGATTAGTCTTAAGAGTTCTTGTCCTCAGATATATTTCCCCCTGCTGCCTTCCCATCTGTCTGGGCCTGCATATGTTTACTTTTATAGTTCTCTTTATTCAGAGACATAGAAACAAGTCAATCAAGTGTCTCTTCCCCTCTGCTGTATGATACTGTGATCACTGGGACTTGAAGGCAGAAGGTGAACCTAAACTGTCTTTTAATATTCATGGTGCAGAGGTATCCTGTAGGCTATTTCAGGATTCCTATAATGATTCACACTGCTAACAAGCACTGGAGGAAAGGAAGGGTTTATAATTTTCTTTTCCCTTCTCCATATCAGGATTTTGAAAGACAGAAAATGAGGACAGATATAACATCACAGGGAGCCATGGGAGTCCCATAAGACAGGGTTATTAAAAATGGCAAAATCACAAACAGAGCTGTGAACACCTGATGAAGGAGGAAAAGAGCTAAAGGGTTTGCTTCAGACAGCCAGCTAAATGAGAGAGTGTGTGTCATAGGATCCAGCTCCCACAGTCAGAGTGGATGTGTCTATTTTTAGAAAATAATTGCATATGCACACAGAAGTGCACGCAGGACACGGTGAAGGTAGGATGGGGTATATGTTTCATCCCTCAGGATCAGGGTATGTCAGCCAGACTAGACACAGAGATAGTAACCTGTCTCAACAAAAACAAAAAACAAACAAACCAAGTTCAACATAATGCATTGTTATTTTGAATCTCAGGTTTCATATCAGACCATAAAGATTTGTCATGTTATCTTTCAAACACTTACTCTACATTTCTGTACTTATCCTTCTCTGGTAGTTTTATGGTTCAGTGAGCCATAAAATGAGCCTACTGGAGCTTCTAGACCATAATCTAGATTCTCTTCTTGTATAAAATCCTTTTGCTTCCCCTGAGGCATAAATGTTTTATTTTTCATAAGGTCTTTCAATTAAGTGCTTCTAATCTATGTTGCAACAGTGTGAGTGAATACACAAAGCACAAGGACACAAACAAGAACAAAAATCCTTAAGCACTGTTACTATAAGAACATTTAAATACCTCTCTGTTGTGTCCAGAGCCCTGGGGGTGGGTAGGTCCTGTGCTGCATCTTCTGGAAATGTTGGTTACAGAAGTTTCCCCATTTCCACTTTCTTCTCTCACTTTTTGTCCAAATCGATAATTGCCTAAGAAAACAGGACTTGAACCATCCAGATTGTCAAAGCCTATCTGAAACTGCAGATTTGTGTTGCCCCTTTCCACATTAGAAACTGAATTTACACTATTCCTTCCATGGAGTTCTCTCTCATGACTGTAGGGGTGGGAATCCACCACAGAAAAGTTTCTGCAGTCAGGCAGTAAGGAAGGTCTGAAGCCAACCATTGGTGCCACTGTGCCTTGCTGCCAGTGAGGGATTGCAGTTCCAGGGTAAAGCTCTCCATGAGCAACCAGAGGATGACTGTAAAGATGCTGGTCAGGCACATTCTGACTGAAAAGGTCTGCTGGGAAAAATATTTCTTCATGATGATGTGGATGGGATGAACCATAAAAAAAGAATTCGTGGCTGACTTCATCAACTATTCGATCAAATCCCAGAGGGATGTCTCCATCAGAGCCAGAATGGCACTCTGGGTGAGATGCTTGGGGCCCAGGCTGTCCTGCACAGAATCCAGTGTGTGAGAAGGGCACCCTCCCAAAGTGTGCCATGGCTGATAGGTGCCTTCAGCCCTTCTCCTCCTCCTCAGGAAAGTCTCATTATAGTTCCAGGTCCAGAGAGCAGCGCTCACAACTGGAGATGTGTAACACTGAAACAAAGCACAGAATGGAGGTTAAAACCCAAAATAACTTACATAATGAAAGCACTTCACTGCTTTGGTCTTTTTTTGTTTTAGAGCTTTCTCTAGAGAGTGGAAATGTTTTCTTAATGTGGAGCTTGATCAGCTGTTGTCTGATCCTTATTTCCAGGCATATTATTATTTTTATAGTCATAACAACAAACTACTAATTTTATTATTATCATCCTTGACTCACAAATAACAGCAACAGGATGCCTGAAGCAGCTGATCAAAATATTAAATACTAATTCTGATTAATATTCCAAAACATCTCAAATTTTGCCATAATTTCTACACTTGCGTAGCACACAATGCAGGAAGGAAGAGTTTGTATTAATTGTTGTCAGTTTCATTCACATTTTCCTTTTTTGTGCCTCCAGTTCCTTCATATTCTGCCACTTCTTATCTTAGTGTAATCAGGTGAAGAAAGTCAAGTCAAAGAATATAGAAGACATGGACCTCCAATTAATATTCCCCAAAAGATATATAAAGGAAAAAAAATACATATATAAATAAATTTCAGCCTTTTTGTGTTTCTTGTTTTACAGAAGAAATTTATCCTCAAAGCCTAAGGCTAGCCTTTTTTAGCAAATTAACAGGCAAGGACATGACTTTCTGCAGCTCCATCATTAATGTTGTTACTAGAAAACTTCCTGATCTGATTTTGGCATGTGCCAAGTTCTCCTATGGTTCAGATGGGCAGCACGCACTGGGAACCGCTGTCATCAGGCATAAGGATAAATTTTTTAGGAAGGGAGTTTAGTTTTACAGCCAAAGTCTATTCTAGGCCATTTGCCCTCAAGGCCTTGGCCTGTTTCATTTACTGATACAGATGTAGCCTAAAACCCACAAATGACACAGAACAGCAATACCACACACTGCACACAGTTGGGTATTTATCACCTGAAAGGAATAGAGACATCTGACTTCATAATGCAATACAAAAAAAAATGTATTCCTGAGCAAAAAAAAAGCTAGTGAGCTAAAAAGTGTGTTCAGAAATTGTTAAAGCTTAGCTCCACAAATATATTTTCCATTAAGTCCTCAAGATACTGTATTTGTTTAGATAACAGCACCTTGCAATGAAAATCTGTGTTACAATGGAAGGTATTCATCCCAATTTTATTTATTTTTGTTTTATTTCAAGTCAACCTCTAGGTGACATAAGCTTCTGTCACCCACAGCGTGGAATGAGAAATGAAATGAAAACCTAAACAGGCTGAAATAAAACCTGCAACCCAGAGGCTGAACTACTGTTTCAAACACTCCACTTAGTAATTCCACGTGTTGCATGCTTTGGTTTGCTTTAACCGAGTTGGAAAAAACCCCACATTTATGAAATCACACTAGGCCAGATAACCAAAATTATACATACCACTTTGAATGGTGATAAAATGCAATTACAATTCTGTAGCTTTCTCTCAGAATGAATGCTAAGTTCCCTGTGGTTTTAGAGAAAAATGACACCATTAAAAAAAAAAAACATAACAAAAGTTTCTTGTACAAAATTGTCCCAATTTACAACTTTCTGTGTTTTTCATTTCTGCAGCAGGTAAATAAAAGAAAGAAAACAAGAAAGAAAATTATATAGCCTTAAATCAAGAAGTATGAGGTCTTCCACTCTTTTTTTAACCCATCTTGAAAATTGGAATGTTTCAGGAAGAAATAGAAGATAAAATAATGAAATTTCCCTCCAGTCCCATCTTCCTTAAAAGAGCATGTCTGGAAGACTACAAGACATAGAAAGTACATTTTACACCCTTTCAACTGTTCCTAAAATATTTTCCTTGCATTTCAAACAAATTCTGTTTGTGATGGCACATAAATGCCTAACATCAAACCTTGAACGGGCTGTGACCTCTGCTCAGAAGCATCTTGTGTCTTGAATAAGGGCTTGTATTTAAAATTGACCCAGAGAAAGGAAGCTCAGCATGACATGGTGCAGATCTCCATGGTGTAAGTCCTGCTAGTCCTGGCTCTGCATTGGGGCCAACTCCTCACCCTTTTCAAAGCATCACACAAAGGTCAGGGGAGGATCTGGCTCCTCGCCAGCCACTATTTCACCTTCTGAGTCTTGTCAAGGGCATTGATAAAACAATTTGCAAAAATCACGAAGGAGGCAACATCTACATTAATTTTTTATAAAACATCCAAGTTTTTGGTTTGGTTTTTTTTTTTTCCCCCTTGTGGTTTCTCAGTCCAAATTTAATTTTGGAGGGTTTGGCTTTTTCCTCTCACAGCTATGAAGCCCACCTTGTCCACTTGAATGACAGCTGTATGTTGACATAACGGTGTGGTTATGGGAGCAAGGGTTTTAAGGGAGAATCCCAACCAATACTGTAAGATATCCACTACAAATCAAGATGCTTGAGAGTCTCACAGCATTGCAAGCACACAAAACCGCTTTCCACACATGGCCATGCTCATGAATCCTCCTAAAAAAGCCTGGCACACTGCAGGCTCAATTTTCGCTATTAGCGATCCCAGGAGGAGATGACTGGGGCATTTGCTAAGCAGTAAGAATATCTGTTGCAACTCCTTACCTGAAACACAATTTTTTTAGAAGGATCTAGAGCCTCCTGTGCCTTCCTGCTCACAGACATTTTCAGGTGACCTATGTGCTTTCAGTATCAAGGGGGTGTAACTTTTCCATCAGGAGCTTTCCTTCCTGCTTAACCGGTTTATGGCGGTGATGATTCTCTTCCCAAGGCATCCCTCAGGGAAAATTCAAGCTGCAGGGGCAATAAAAAGCTAACACCTTATCTATTCTCCTTCTCAATTTGGAAACTCAACCATACTTTTAAATTTTTTTAATATATATATATGGTGGTAGATTATCTTGCATTTTCAGTGCGAGTTTCCAACAGGCTTAAAATAACAATTCCATGAAAGGGGAAGAATTGCCTCTTAGGAAGATTTCTGCACAAGAATAGGAGGAAAAATTTTTCTCTACTCCATCTACCTGCTCCAAAAGGAGCTTCCAGCTCCAGGGGAGGGGGGCAGTACAAACCTCTGATGGCAGAGTGGCCCTCTGGCTTTGGCTCCTCAGTGTGCAGAGCTGGGAGAACACAACAGTGGAAGAACCTCTCTTATTCTGGGATATTTCCCAGGGACCACTGAGGACTTGGCTCCCTGCAAAGGGCCTGAAGAGCTGCATTAAACACAGCACTGGCCACGTCCATCTTCCACAACCTCAAAGGGCCCAGTGCCCTCCATAAAAGGGAGCAGCAGAGGCTGCTCCAGACACAACACAGAGGGAGTTCCCTCAGGGACCACTCGCCTTCACACTTCATACCATTCCTTAAAAAGTTAGAAATTGCTCCACTGAAGTGGCTTTTCAGAATTCAAGCAAAATCCCAAGGTTGCAACAGGCAAGGAAATATCCTCACAAGAGGGAGTGAGGAAGGGTAAACAAAACAGTAATTCAGTTATAAAAAGCCATGCAATAAAACTGAACAGATTAGGATAAAGCATATAAAGTTAATAATTAATAGCTGATATCTTATATCTGATAAACTGAATTTATAATTTGATAAAATTAGCACTACAGGAAAAAAGCCCTGGCCTTTAAAGCACAAAAGCTGTCAGTGATGTCAGTGTGTTTTAAAAGCAGTTAGACAAGGACAAAACTTATTTCAGTTGGTGAAAGGTGATGCATTTTCTGTCATATATTCTCCATATATTCTCTTAAAATGTCAACTTGCTCTATAAGCTATTTGGTGGCATTTATGCTGTACCATCCTCATTTCCAGTGATTACTGTGAAGTGATCCTGAGGGAGAGGAACACACCAGGTTTTAGGAGCTGCCATTTCAGAGTTTGTGCCAGTGTGGTGTTGCTTCACCTCACAGGGATTGGACACAGCTAAAGGAGGAGGAGGAGGAGGATTGGGAAAACAGGAAATACTCATGGGAAGAGCTCATGTTCCAAGCACACACAGAAGGCTGTACACACATAATAAAAACTGAGCTGAGACCTCTCTCCCCGTGGTCATTTCCACGAGAAGCCTATGAGGGTTTTTCTTGAGAAACTGAATATTTTCAGATTTTTCCCAGGCTTTTAGGAGGCTATTTCTCTGTTCCATGCTTCCCATTAAAGGAGCAGACAGGGAAGTGCTGAGTCACTTTCTAGCCTCACTCCTCCTGGAGCTGCCAAGAATTGCCTCCTCCTCTTTTGCTGGCATGTGGGACAAAATTTGCAGAGACACAGAAACCCAGACAGTCCCTGGGATGTTTCCTTCCCCTCTTTAGACACTCTCACTGCTCCACCAGCTGGCAGGAGCCGCAGCTCGCTCAGGTTAATATTAAATTAAATAATTTGATTTAGCTGTGCACGAGTGTGCTCTTTGGAGCCAGGGCTGATACAGAAAGAGCTGGCAAAGCAATCATTCCTCACCCCCAGGATGAAGCACAAGATCTTCAGCAGGTTTTACTCACAGGGTTGCTTCACAGGCAGTGTGGAGTTTCTGAAACAGCACTCTTCCCTTTGGAGCCTGCAGGCTTCCAGTAATAACAGGCTTGCAAAGGGAATGCAGCAAAGTGTTTTAGCAATCCGTGGGGATGGAAAACTGGCTGAACAGAGAGCCAGTGAGGAAACTGCTCCGTTTCATAAGAAACCCATCCTCTGTGCTCCTATTCTCCAGTGCCACCTACTGTCACTTCCCAAAACTGTGAGGCAGGAACAGAGATCGCTGTGTCCGAGCTTTATAATTTTATCCATCACCATCCCTGACAAGTATGGTCCCTCTCAGAAAGCTGTTCTTTGTGGGAAAGACTGATGATTCTCCAGGTCCTGCTTCTCCTGGGGCAGCACTCCAAAGTACTGCTGCACCAAAGGGATGGCAAAGTGTCAGCAAAACTACAGAGATACATCA